TACATCCTGAAGTTTACTTAACAGTCTTTTATCTTCCAATACAAGACCAACAAACTACTGTCATTACCCCTACACATATCTTATAAACTTTTATCCTTTTTTCTTAAAAGGGATTACCAAACTAAACCCCTTTCAACAAATTTCAAAAAAGGCCCCCCATTATCATTTACACCGGGCACCCCAAATTTACCTACCCAACCCTCTCAAATGTTTCTCCACTTAGCATTTAGGTCCACTACCACAATTACTCTCTCATTTGGTTCTAATTTCCTGTACATTCACAAATAAAATTTAAAAAAACATTATTCATTTTTCAATTCCAATAATTTTCAATCCCAATGCTCACTTCCCTTTTTCACTGATTCTTTATTTATATTATATTTTATACTCCTCAACTAATTAAGTCTTGGGGATAATTTGCTTTTTTAACATTTAAATTTTTTTACAAGAAAAAAGTTAATCAGCTTCCGGGAAATTTATTTCTTAAAAATGATTTTGCAACTACAGAACAAAGGTCACGGGAAGTAAACCCTTTAAAAAAATATAAGCAAATGTAAAAAATCCCAAAATAAAATTGGGTTACCTTTTTTTTTGTCAAAAAACTGGCCAATCCCCCCAAGGCGGGTTTGGATAGGGCGAAAGTTTCTTTTTTAAAAAATTTAGTAATATTACAGGAAAGGGGTTTAAACTATCCCTTCCCCGGCATTTTTAGTCCCCTTTTGAAACACACATGACTAATGAGGGGGAATCATTTTCCTTTCCCCAGGAGATCAGATTAAATAACAAGAACAAGAACTAGTAAGAAAACAGAAGAAAACCCCAAAGGGGGGTGTGTATATATATGTTTGTACATGCTGTGTTGCATGTACAAACAAAATACCATACCCCTCGGGTATTCTTCTATTTTTTACTAGTTCTTGTTCTTTTTTTTTTTCCCCTTATCTCCATGGGGAATGGAAAAGATTTTCCCCCTCCATAACCATGTGTGCGTCAAGGAACTAAAAACCAAGAGCAAGGGGGTAGTAACTCCTTCTTTAATATGTTACTCAAGTTAAAAAGAAAACTTTCATTTTTCTTTTTTTTGGGCCACCCTGCTCGGTGGATATGGCTGGTTTTTTTTAAAGAAGACAGCATGTAATGTGACCTAAGTGTACAAAAGTAGCAAGCGTACCTGAAACCTTTCTTTTATGAGACAGAGGATAAAAGCTCATAGAGCATGGAGAGGAGGCCTGTAGCGACATGAAAAGCAGGGCCAGGACTGAGTCTCAACCCCTGCAACCACAATTAGTGAGACAAAAGACGCCAACAAACAAATCCCACGTAAAAGATACAGGTTTTCCCTTTTACACCACTTTTACCAAACCATTTTAATAACCCCTCTTCTGCCCTCTGACAAAACTTTTAGTAAACTCCACACCACCTCCAAATTTTTCCCCAAAACGAAATTTTCTGGATAATATTTTACCACACATTCCCTTTGACACCACACTCCACTGCCTCCCCCTCCTCATCGCTCAGCTTTACAACCCTGCTTCACACCCCATAAGAGTGTTGGTAACCCCACCAAACTCTCGTATATTCCCTTCTTTTCCTCCATGGAAATTTTTTGTCTCCACAGAACCCCCAAACACCACTCACCTTGTTTCCCTTCTTCAATTCTTGGTTAACCTCAGCCTTCATAAACCCACTGCTGACAAATCTACTCCCCTATATCTGAACACATTATTATTTTTTTTTTATATGACAGAATGACTTGTTAAAAAAAAGACCCAGCAGGGGGTGGGCTTTAAATCGATATAGAAAAAAAAAAGATTTTGGGGTGGAGTTTACTAGAGGAAAAAGTGAGGGCTTAACAATTACAAACACAGAAAGCACCCAAAACCCCTGCAGATCACAGTGCTAAATAAAAAGGGTTTAAAACTTTGGTAACTCTTTGAGAACAAAAGGGTTTTAGGGCTGTTTACTATTATTGCTATGTTCTTTTTTCAACACACGGCTTTACCCCCGAGGGGGGGTGGCCCAAAAGGAAAAAAAGAAAGTTTTTCCTTTTCATTTAGTAATAATACGGAGAAGGGGTTTCTACCCCTTTTCTCCGCAATTTAGCCGCCTCTTACAACACGCATGGGTTATGAGGAAGAATTCTGTTCCACTTCCCCATGGAGGTAAGAGGAAATAAACAAGAACAAGAACTAGAAAGAAAATAGAAGAAAACCCAAAGGTGGTGTGTATATATGCTTGTACAATGTATGTGTAGTGTGACCTAAGTGTAAGTAGAAGTAGCAAGACGTACCTGAAATCTTGCATGTGTATGAGACAGAAAAAAAAAGACACCAGCAATCCTACCATCGTGTAAAACAATTACAGGCTTCAGTTTTACACTCACTTGGCAGGACGGTAGTCCCTCCCTGGGCAGTTGCTGTCTACTAACCTACTACCTAGTACAGTGGACCCCCGCATAACGGACGCCTTGCATAACGGACAATCCGCATAGCGGACGCTTTGATCGCTAAAATTTTGCCCCGCATACCGCCCAAAAAACCCGCTCAGCGGCCTTCGTCCGAGACGCGTCCAATGTGCGGCCTGAGCCACGCTCACATGTTCCGCGGGTGGCATTGTTTACCAGCCAGCCTCCGCGGTAACATCCAAGCATACAATCGGAACATTTTGTATTATTACAGTGTTTTTGGTGATTTTTTTCTGGAAAAATAAGTGACATGGGCCCCAAGAAAGCTTCTAGTGCCAACCCTACAGCAATAAGGGTGAGAATTTACTATGGAGATGAAGAAAAAGATCATTTGATAAGTATGAAAGTGGAGTGCGTGTCTCCAAGCTGGCCAGGTTGTATAATAAAACCCCAATCAACCATCGCTACTATTGGTGGTACAGCTGCTGCTCCTGCTGTATCACCGTCAGCTGCTGCTGCACTGTCAGCTGCTGCTGCTGTACCACCGTCACTGCTCCTGCTGCTGTAGTACCGTTCTGCTGCGCTGTAGCCATCATCTGCTGCTGCTGTAGCATCGTCCTGCTGCTGCTGTAGCATCGTCTGCTGCTGCTGTAGCATCGTCTGCTGCTGCTGTAGCATCGTCTGTTGCTGCTGTAGCATCGTCTGTTGCTGCTGTACCACCGTCAGCTGCTGCTGCTGCTGCTGTAGCATCGTCTGCTGCTGCTGCTGCTGTAGCATCGTCTGCTGCTGCTGCTGCTGTAGCATCGTCTGCTGCTGCTGTAACATCGTCAGTTGCTGCTGTAGCATCGTCTGCTGCTGCTGTAGCATCGTCTGTTGCTGCTGTAGCATCGTCTGTTGCTGCTGTACCACCGTCAGCTGCTGCTGCTGCTGTAGCTCGTCTGCTGCTGCTGCTGCGCTGTACATGCTGCTGCTGCTGAAAACATCGTCGTTGCTGCTGTAGCATCGTCTGCTGCTGCTGTAACATCGTCAGTTGCTGCTGTAGCATCGTCTGCTGCTGCTGTAGCATCGTCTGTTGCTGCTGTACCACCGTCAGCTGCTGCTGCTGCTGCTGTACCCGTTGTTGGTGTGGCTTATTGAGAATACCAAGAAACAATTAACCCCAAGGTTTTGCCACCCAGGATAGCCCAAAAAAAGTCAGTGTCATCGAAGACGTCTAACTTATTTCCATTGGGGTCCTTAATCTTGTCTCCCAGGATGCAACCCACACCATCGACTAACACCCAGGTGAACAAGGAAAATGCTGGAACTAGTGCTCATATTGGGGAATTTAGAGCCAGCAAAGGTTGGTTTGAAAAGATTTAAGAATCGTAGTGACATACACAGGTGATAAGGCCTGTTCTGGAAGAAATACCAAACAGGACCTACAGTACTCAGGAGGAAAAGGCACTCCGGACAAGTGTTTTCATCGTCATTTTCTGCATCTTCAATAAAAGGGAAGTGTCATTTTTTTCATTTAGTAGAGTAGTAATGCACAATATATATTGTGCATGTACTACTCTACTATTGTGCATGTAAAAATTCTCTTTGTGTGTAGGAAAAAAGTATATTTCATGTGGTAAAATTTTTTTTTCAAACTTTTGGGGTGTCTTGCACGGATTAAAATTTTATTTCCATTATTCTTATGGGGAAAATTCATTCACATAGCGAACATTTCGCATAACAGCCAAACCCTCTGCACGGATTAAGGTCGCTATGCGGGGGTCCACTGTATTATTATTATTATTTTTTTTTTTCAACAAGTCGGCCGTCCCCACCGAGGCAGGGTGACCCAAAAAAGAAAGAAAAACCCCAAAAAGAAAATACTTTCATCATCATTCAACACTTTCACCACACTCACACATTATCACTGTTTTTGCAGAGGCACTCAGAATACAACAGTTTAGAAGTATATACGTACAAAGATTTCACAACATATCCCTCCAAACGCCAGGAGGTACTACCGTCCTGCCAAGTGAGTGTAAAACGAAAGCCTGTAAAATTTTTTTACATGATGGTAAGATTGCTGGTGTCTTTTGTCTGTCTCATAAATATGCAAGATTACAGGTATGTCTTGCTACTTCTACTTACACTTAGGTCACACTACACATACATGTACATATTTATTTATACACACTCATCTGAGTTTTCTTTGATTTTATCTTAATAGTTCTTGGTCTTATTACTTTTCCTTTTATATCCATGGGGAAGTGGAATAAGAATCTTTCCTCCGTAAGCCATGCGTGTTGTAAAAGTCAACTAAAATGCCGGGAACAATGGGCTAGTAGCCCCTTTTCCTGTAAAGATTACTAAAAAGAATAAGAATTATTATTATATATTATTATTATAATGTTAAGAAAGACATCTAATTCTCACATTATACTGTTTTTTTCACTGAAAATTACACCATTAATTATTTGTGTTAAAAATGTAAATAAAAACCATTTCTAATAAATAATCTTTACTAGTGTGAAGGCAATAAGTACAGACTACCCTTAAAGGAAGATACTTAATGAAACTGAATATGGATTTTGAGAATGCTGTTTCAAGATTTACTCACAGTGAACACTTCTGTAGACAGATTGTCCAGGGAAAGCGCATCAGGATCAGCCAGGAGTTGGTAAAGTGCTGAACCAGGAGATGAGGATGGCAGATCTCCTACATCTGACGTTGGTTGACCCCTAGCCATACGAGTTACCCAAGTTTCACACCGACCCAGCTCCACTAAAGCTGCCCCAAAGCCACACCCAGGAACACGTACTAAGTGAGTGTCCACCAAAGCTCCAACTGATGAATGAACATAATCCTGCAATAGTAAAAAAAAAAATCAGAACAGTGATAATTCAGTTTTACAAATTTTTTAACTATCCATTGTTACCATCACTCATATTTGGATTTTCCTAACCAAACTTGGGCCTATATGCTTCTGTATAACGAACATTCCTATTGCTAAGCATTTGAGAAGCTAGTCATTCCAGTGCACATTCTGTCCTCCACAAGAACAAGCGGCAAATGCTAAACACCCATTTCCTTTAAGTATACGGAATCTAATTAAGCAACAATTGCAACAAATAAACAAAAATTAAATCAAGGAACTGCTATCAAGTCACTAACCCAGTGTGTGTTGTGATTCCATGACAGTCCAGCAGCTACAAGTATTGGGGGCCAAGCAAACACTAATGGTGTGAGAGCAGCACTACTGGACCAATGGGCAACAACTACACCACCTGCCCCACCATCCACACCTCCCACCACACCACTGTACACATTGCTCACCCCAGCCTCTGGCCACCTGAAACACAAACATGCCCAGATCCATTAAAACTAAAAAAAAATTTTGGTTTCAAATAGTTTTTAAGGTAAGCCAGTATCCACATAATAATGGAAGGTAAGCCAGTATCCACATAATAATGGAAGGTAAGCCAGTATCCACATAGAACAAGTTGATGTACAGCCATTTACAAGTGCTTCAGTAATCATCAGGTACTGCAAAAGAGGTGATTCCTCAAGGTAGCCCAACTTCATATAAGAATGAAAAATAAAAGCAAACAATCCTGGCCAAGATAATGATTATCATCCACCAGACATAATTAAACATGAGAAATTAGCATACAAACATTACACAATGTAGCTCACCCACTTAAACTGCTCCAAGCTGCAGTACCAGGACACACTGCCAATGGTCGCCCAGTCTCTACCGCAAGTTGAACACCTCGAGAAAAGTCATAATCAGCCTGCAAAATGTTAATATCCTAACTAATAATGAATACAGCCCAGTAAATAACAGGTGACTATCATGGTTTCACAAACTCTCAAATCAAGAAATTAGTGCCTCTTGCCAGGTGTTTTTATAGATAGGGGAGCAATGTGGCAGATGTTGCAAGTACAGTGGACCCCCACATACCGTTGGCATCACATAACGTTAAATCCGCATACCGCTACATTTTATCGCCAAGATTTTGCCTCGCATACCGCTAAAAAACCCGCTCAACGCTGTTCGTCGAGACGCGTCTAATGTGCGCCCTTAGCCAGCCTCACATGTTCCGCGGTGGCATTGTTTACCAGCCAGCCTCCGTGGTAACATCCAAGCATACAATCGGAACATTTCGTATTATTACAGTGTTTCTGGTGATTTTATCTGCAAAATAAGTGACCATGGGCCCCAAGAAAGCTTCTAGTGCCAACCCTACAGCAATAAGGGTGAGAATTACTATAGGGATGAAGAAAGAGATAAATTGATAAGTATGAAAGTGGAGTGCGTGTCTCCGAGCTGGCCAGGTTGTATAGTAAACCCAATCAACCATCGCTACTATTGTGGGCAACAAAAAGGCAATCAAGGAAGCTGTTCTTGCAAAGGTTTAACTGTGTTTTCGAAACAGAGATCGCAAGTGATGGAAGATGTTGAGAGCCTCTTATTGGTGTGGATAAATGAGAAACAGATAGCAGGAGATGCATCTCTCAGTGATCATAAGTGAAAAGGCTAGGAAGTTGCATGAGGATTTATTTAAAAAAATGCCTGCAACTAGTGATGATGTGAGTGAGTTTAAGGCAGCAAAGGTTGGTTTGAGAGATTTAAGAGGCGTAGTGGCATACATAGTGTGATAAGGCATGGTGAGGCTGCCAGTTCGGACCACAAAGCAGCTGAAAATATTTTGCAGGGAATTCAAGGAGTACATAGAAACTGAAGGACTGAAACCTGAACAAGTGTTTAATTGTGATGAAACAGGCCTGTTTTGGAAGAAAATGCCAAGCAAGGACCTACATTACTCAGGAGGAAAAGGCACTCCCAGGACATAAGCCTATGAAAGACAGGCTTACTCAGTTGATGTGTTCCCAAAGCTACTGGTGATTGCAAAGTGAAGCCTTTATTAGTGTATCACTCTGAAACTCCCAGACTGTTCAGGCAAAAGAATGTCCTCAAGGAAAATTTGTGTGTGCTGTGGAGGGCAAACAGTAAGGCATGGGTCACTAGGGACTTTTTCTATGACTGGTTACACCATGCATTTGCCCCCAATGTGAAAGATTACCTAACTGAAAAGAAATTAGAACTTAAGTGCCTTTCCTGGTGTTAGACAATGCCCCTGGTCATCCTACAGACGTGGCAGAGCGACTTTATGGGGACATGAATTCATTAAGGTGAAGTTTTTGCTCCTAATACCACCCCTCTCCTGCACCCCAGGGGACCAGCAGGTTATTGCAAAACTTCAAAAACTGAAACACAAAAGCTCTGTTTGAAAGGTGCTTTTTATGACCTCAGAAACTCAACTGACTCTAAGAGACTTTTGGAGAGATCACTTTAATATCCTCAATGTGTAAACCTTATAGGTAAGGCTTGGGGGGAGTGACTAAGAGACTTGAACTCTGCTTGGAAGAAACTGTGGCCGAATGTGTAGACCAAAGGGATTTTGAAGGGTTTCGGGGCTAACCCCTGAGAATCCTATCCCAGTTGAGGAATCCATTATGGCATTGGGAAAGTCCTTGGGGTTGGAGGTTAGTGGGGATGGTGGGAAGAGTTGGTGGAGGAGGAAAATGAAGAACTAACCACTGATGAGTGATAGATCAACTTCAAAGCAAGAGGCCCAAAACCCTGAGGAAACTGGTTCGAAGGAGGGGAGAGAGAAATTGAAGAAATTGCCTACTACAAAGTTTAAAGGGAAAATCTGTGCAAAGTGGCTTGAAGTGCAAACCTTCATGGATGAAAATCACCCTCACACAGCTATTGCAACCCGTGCTGGTGACTATTAAAATGACAATGTTGTGAAACACTTTAGGAAGTCATAAAGGAACGAAAAGGTACAGGCCATTGGACAGATATTGTTGTGCGACAGAACTCAGTGCTCTGAAGCTGGTCCTAGTGGCATTAAAAGAAGAAGGGAAGTAACCCAGAAAAGGACTTGACACCTCAAGTCTTAATGGAAGGGAATTCCCCTTCTAAACACTAACACTCTCTCCTCCCCCCTTCCCATCAATTTTCACCGTCTTCAAAAAAGTAAGTTTTCATGTAATTGTGCATGCCTTTTTCAGTTTGTGTATTAAAAATTTAAAATTTTGTGTGTAAAATTTTTTTTTCATACTTTGGGGTGTCTTGCACGGATTAATTGATTTCCATTATTTTTATGGGGAAAAATTCATTCGCATAACGATAATTTCGCATAAGGGAAAGAGCTCTCTTGCACGGATTAATTTTCGCTATGCAGGGGTCCACTGTATATGGAATAGGTGGTAAGTTACTAATGCTGTAAAGGTTTTTTTTGAGGATAGTGAGGCTCAGGTTAGTGTGTGTGAAGAGAGGGAGACTATTTCCGGTAAAAGTAGGTCTTAGACAGGGATGTGTAATGTCACCATGGTTGTTTAATATATTTATAGATGGGGTTGTAAAAGAAGTAAATGCTAGGGGGGTTCGGGAGAGGGGTGGGATTAAATTATGGGGGAAACAAATACAAAAAAGGGAATTGACACAGTTACTTTTTTTCTGATGATACTGTGCTTATGGGAGATTCTAAAGAAAAATTGCAAAGGTTAGTGGATGAGTTTGGGAGTGTGTGTAAAGGTAGAAAGTTGAAAATGTACATAGAAAAGAGTAAAGGGGATAAGGGTATCAAATGATTTGATAAAGAAAACTTGGGGTATCAAATTGGGGAGGATGGAGTATGGAAGAAGTGAATGTTTTCAGATACTTTGGGGGTTGACGTGTCGGCGGATGGATTTATGAAGGATGAGGTTAATCATAGAATTGATGAGGGAAAAAAAGGTGGTGTGGTGCGTTGAGGTACATGTGGAGTCAAAAAACGTTATCTATGGAGGCAAAGAAGGAATGTATGAAAGTATAGTATTACCCAAAACTCTTATATGGGTGTGAGGCTTGGGGTTTTGAATGCAGCAGCGACGAGGCGGTTGGAGATGTCCTGTCTAAGGGCAATGTGTGGTGTAAATATTATGCAGAAAATTTAGAGTGTTAAATTAGAAGGTGTGGAGTTAATAAAAGTATTAGTCAGAGGGCTGAAGAGGGATTGTTGAGATGATTTGGTCATTTAGAGAGAATGGATCAAAGTAGAATGACATGGAGAGCATATAAATCTGTAGGGTAAGGAAGGCGGGGTAGGGGTCATCCTCGAAAAGGTTGGAAGGAATGGGTTAGGGAGGTTTTGTGGGCGAGGGGCTTGGACTTCCAGCAGGCGTGCATGAGCGTGCTCGATAGGAGAGTGAATGGAGACGAATGGTATTTGGGACCTGAAGATCTGTTGGAGCATGAGCAGGGTAATATTTAGTGAAGGGATTCAGGGAAACCGGTTTTTATATAACCGGACTTGAGTCCTGGAAATGGGAAGTACAATGCCTGCATTCTAAAGGAGGGGTTCGGGATATTAGCAGTTTGGAGGGATATGTTGTGTATCTTTTTACGTATATGCTTCTAAACTGTTGTATTCTGAGCACCTCTGCAAAAACAGTGATTATGTGTGAGTGAGGTGAAAGAGTTGAATGATGATGAAAGTATTTTCTTTTTGGGGATTTTCTTTCTTTTTGGGTCACCCTGCCTCGGTGGGAGATGGCCGACTTGTTAAAAAATAAAAAATAAAAAAAATAAAATTTTAATATATTTTGGATCAATATAATGCAAATACATTTACATCAGAACATGGCAAGAATACTGGACCATAAAAGCTCTTCAAATACTAAAAATTTTAACAAAACATTAAATTGCATTCCAAGTCAAAGTTCTAGTGATGATAGTTGCTCACCTGAAAACCATATTCCACCAAAATGGCCGTTGGAGGGAGAGAAGATAACTGCTGCATCTTGTTTATGGAAAACATTAGCACATACCAGAAGAAAATGTTGACTTTGGGAGGCCCAGCTGTGCCCAGGGACTCAAGCAGGCAATATTATCTGACACAATACTGTCTCCAGAACTGGCCTCTGCCAGTAATGCTGTCAGCCTGGGACCTATGTGTACGTATCTGCAACACTTGTATTATTTAAACCCTAGGGTGAAGCATATTTAGTTATTTTTATTTTTAACAGCTGGCCGTCTCCCACCAAGGCAGGTGACCGAAAAAGAAACACACCATCATTCACACTATCACTGTCTTGCCAGACATGCAGAAACAACAGTTTAGATGTCACTCTAAACAGTAAATATCCTAAAACCCCTCCTTTAGAGTGCAGGCATTGCACCCTCCCATCTCCAGGACTCATAAATACATATGTAAAAAAACTATACATACATTTGTCATTATCATGACCATAGGTAAAATATTATAATTAATATACACTTATCACAATTTCTATGATCCTCTCAATGTTAATCTTTCTACTGTGTCTGCCTCAGTTAATTAATCAAAACTACAATTCCCCTCTACCAAATTATTAAAGCCATATACAGTGGACCCTCAGCAACGATGGCATCAGCTAACGTTAAATATGGCTACGATAAATTTTAACGCAAAAATTTTGCCTCGGCTAACGCTAAAAAACTCATCCCAAAGCGATTCGTTCGAGATGCGTCCACGTCTGGCCCGAGCGCGCCTCAGTCGTCCCATGGGTGCCCGTGTTTACAAGCCCGCGAGTGCGGTTTGCATTCCCACGCATACAATTTGAACATTTCCATATTATCACAGCGTTTTTAGTGCTTGTCCCTGCAAATTGTAGGTAGTAGGTTGGTAGACAGCAACTGCCCAGGAAGGTACTACTTTCCGCCAAGTGAGTGTAAAAACGGAAACCTGTAATTGTTTTACATGAAGGTAGGAACTGCTGGTGTCCTTTTTTCTGTCTCATAAACATGCAAGGTTTCAGGTACGTTTTGGGCTACTTCTACTTACACTTAGGTCACACTACACATACATGTACAAGCATATATATACACACCCCTCTGGGTTTTCTTCTATTTTCTTCTAGTTCTTGTTCTTGTTTATTTCCTCTTACCTCCAGGGGGAAGTGGAACAGAATTCTTCCTCCATAAGACATGCGTGTTTAAGAGCGACTAAAATGCCGGGGCAAGGGGCTAGTAACCTCTTCTCTGTATATATTACAAATGTAAAAGGAAAACTTTCGTTTTTCCTTTTGGGCCACCCCACCTCGGTGGGATACGGCCGGTGTGTTGAAAGAAAGACCTGCAAAATAAGTCACCATGGGCCCCAAGAAAGCTTCTAGTGCCAACCCTGCAGGAAAAAGGGTGATAATTACTATGGATATGAAGAATGAGATAATTGTAAGTACGAAAGTGGAGTGTGTGTCTCGGAGCTGGCCAGGTCATACAAAACCCCAATCAACCATTGCTACTATCGTGGCCAAGAAAACGACAATCAAGGAAGCTGTTCTTCCAAAAGGTGCAACTTTGTTTTCGAATAAGAGATCGCAAGTGATAGAAGATGTTGAGAGACTGTTATTAGTGTGGATAAATGAAAACAGATAACAGGAGTAGCATCTCTCAAGCGATCATATGTGAAAAGGCTAGGAAGTTGCATGAGGGTTTAATTAGAAAAAAATGTCTGCAACTAGTGGTGATGTGAGTGAATTTAAGGCCAGCAAAATTGGTTTGAGAGATTTAACCCTTTGAGGGTTTTCGTCGTACTAGTACGTCTTACGCGTAGGGGTTTTTGACGTACTAGTACGCATAAATTCTAGCGGCCTCAAATCTCGCGCGAAAAGGCTGATAGGCCTAGGTGTGAGAGAATGGGTCTGCGTGGTCAGTGTGCGCGGTAGAAAAAAAATCTGGGACCCAGTGGTGCATTGTGGGAATGCCCTCTTAGTAAACAATGTCCACCATGCCTCGCGGTAAGAAGCTCCTCACCCCTGGGCGAATTGGGACACTTTTTTTCCCCCAGTGCAGTTCTAATAGTGATGGAAGTGCCAGTGAAGATGAGTTTCGTGGTTTTAGTGAGGTTTTGACCGAAACTAATACCATAATATCGGTAATAGTGAAGAAAACCCAGACGACCCTCAGCCTTCCACCTCTGGTGCTGGGCCCTCGTGTTCACGTTCAGTTGTTCCAGAACCCAAGAGGAAACTTCTTTTTTCCCCAAATCCCAGACTCAGATGAGAGCATGGGTGATGATAGTGATAGTGAATATGAACTAAAAGGGCTCTTCAAACAGTTCCAGTAGTGATAGTGAAGTGCAATATTCCCCAGTGAAGCGTCAGTATAAAACGACGATATATGCGCTCTGGAAGTGTGCCATATGCTATTCCAAGGGGAAGGAGTTTATCTCGGAGTACATCCCGTGGCTGTACAACAGGAACAGACAGTGAAAATGACGAAGATACTGTTGCAATTGGGATGGAAAATGTGCGTGGTGGTGTGGTGCCGGCGGTGAGGCACCACATGGGCATGCGCCACCCACGCTGCCACCCACGCCGTGCGTCGGGCTGATCTAGAACAAAGGCCACCATCCCCCACTTCCCCCACCACACAGCCTCCACAACCACAACCTCACAACCACAACCACTGTCATTGTCCAGTACCCACCAGCAGACCGCACCTGGGATTGGCAGGAAGCTGTCAATTTTGTTCCAAATCCCCACCAGTTTGATTGGCAGCCAAAGGGGAATACGAAATCTTGTGCACTTGGGAACAATGCCACTGAACTGGAATTTTTCCCGAGTTATTCTTTGACGAACCATGATGAAAAGTATTGTCATGGAAAGCAACACATACTACGAGTACACCATGGCAAACCAATACTTTCCCCCAAAATCACGTCTACACAATGGAAGGAGGCAACGTGGCTGAGCTGTATCTTTTCTTTGCCACAATAATGCTTATGCCACATGTGTATAAGCACAAAGTGAAATCATACTGGTCAACAGACCCCCTGATTGCAACACCAGGTTTTTCAGTGATATAATGCCAGTGAATCGATTTGTGCTAATGTTACGTATGCTTCACTTCTCAGAAAAAACCAGGCCTGACAGAACGACAGGTTATAAAAAGATTGGGAATGTGTTTGTGTATCTGAACAGAAATTCAGTACTCTTTTTTCCCCTTTAGGGAAACTTGTAATTGACGAGTCTTGATTCTGTTCAAAGGAAGACTCTCTTTCAAGCAGTACATACCAAGCAAGAGGAAACGCTTTGGTAAAAGTTGTTTGTGCTTTGTGATTGTTACAGTGGTCTGGTATTGGATATTATTGTGTACACTGGAAGTTATACATTGCAAAATACCAGAAGTTATTGGGCATCTCAGGTGATGTGGTTCGAACAATGATAGAACCCAACCTTGGTAAGGGGCATATATTATATACAAAATAACTGGTAACAAGCCCCTCACTCAGTGATTTTTTGCGAGTGAACATGACAGATGTGTGTGGCACAGTGCATGCAAATCGAAAACCTATGCCCAGGTTTGATGCTGGCACTCGCAGAGGTGAGGGGGCAGGCGTTTGCTGCCCAAAGACATCATGGCATTTCGGGGGCATGACAAACGAGATGTCACACTGTTGTCATCAATTCACCCTAATGAAATGGCAGACAGTGGCAGGCAGCATAGAGAGAGAAATGAACCCATTCTAAAACCTGCAGCTGTGATTGATTTAAACCTTCAACATGCGTTTTAGTGGACAAATGTGACATGCAGATTGGGTTTGCTGATTGTGTTCGCAAGAGTTATAAGTGGTTTCATCAAACTGTTTTTTTTCCCTCTTCTGGACATTTCCATGCTTCAATGCTTATAATATGTATAAGATGAGCACCAGAAACAAACCACAGTACGGCGAATTCTGTTTTTTCTGTCATCAGACAAATAGTATTCAAGTACCAAGGAAATGCACCTGCAATTGACCGCCCACCAAATTATCAAAAACTACCTGCTCGTCTGAAACATGGTGATCACTTCCTGGTAAAAATGCCTGCTACTTTCTTTGAAAAAAAAGCTCAGAAGAGGTGTTACGTCTGTTCACATACAAAAAAACGCCCACGACAACGCAGAGACACTCGTTTTTATGTGTGAGGAGTGCAAAACTCCCACTGTGCATGACACCATTTTTCAAAGAGTTCCACAGGCTGCAGAACTTCTAGAAACATGTCCTGTGACTGTAAGTGTATATAAAATATAGAAAAATAGTAATAAACAACATTTCATATTGTTTGTTGTGTAAATATTTTTTGTAAACAAAATATACAACCGTGTTTACGCCCTTATTGTGTAGTATTGAAAAAGAAATAACTTACAAATACTGATCATGTTGGCCTCAGAGGCCATAAAAGTTACTCAGAAAAAGAAAAATTGAAAAAAATTTAAAATAGTACATAAAAAAGTAAATATGAAAAATACCGGGTGACGGCAGTCGGCGATGTTACCATATGTTGTTCAATTTTGGGAAATTTCACACCTCCATATCTCGGTAAGTATTGACGCTAAAATTTTTTTGTTTAGCCTATAATGTTTAGAAAAAAATACTCTATTTTTTCATAAGAAAAAATAATTTTTTTTTTTTTAAATTTTGGCTGACCCTGAGAACGAGTTTCGGAGAGGGCCTGTCGACCCTCAAAGGGTTAAGAATCGTAGCGGCGTACATAGTGTGATAAGGCATGGTGAGGCTGCCAGTTTGGACCAAAAAGCGGCTGAAAAATATGTGAAGGAATTCAAGGATTACATAGACAGTGAAGAATTGAAACCTGAACAAGCGTTTAATTGCGACGAAACAGGCCTGTTTTGGAAGAAAATGCCAAACAGGACCTACATTACTCAGGAGGAAAAGGCACTCCAAGGATATAAGCCTATGAAAGACAGGCTTACTCTCTTGATGTGTGCTAATGCTAGTGATGATTGCAAAGTGAAGCCTTTATTGGTGTATCATTCTGAAACTCCCAGAGTGTTCAGGAGAAACAATGTCCTCAAGGCTAATTTGCGTGTGATGTGGAGGGCAAACAGTAAGGTATGGGTCACTAGAGACCTTTTCTATGACTGGTTACACCATGCATTTGCCCCCAATGTGAAAAATTACCTCCTGGAAAATAAATTGGACCTTAAGTGCCTCCTGGTATTAGACAATGCTCCTGGTCATCCTTCAGACTTGGCAGAGCGACTTTCTGGGGACATGAGCTTCATTAAGGTCAAGTTTTTACCTCCTAATACCACTCCTCTCCTGCAGCCCATAGACCAGCAGGTCATTTCAAACTTCAAAAAACTCTACACAAAAGCTATATTTCAAAAGTGCTTTATAGTGACCACAGAAACTCGATTAAACTCTAAGGAGTTTTGGAGAGATCACTTTAGCATCCTCAATTTTGTAAACATTATTTGGAAGGCTTGGGAGGGAGTGACTAAGAGGGCCTTGAACTCTGCTTGGAAAAAACTGTGGCCAGAATGTTTCAGACAAAAAGGGATTTTGAAGGATTGAGGGTAACCTGAGAAGTGTCTGCCAGTTGTGGAATCAATTGTGCACTGGGGGAAATCCTTGGGTTGGAGATTAGTGGGGAGGGGGTGGAAGAGTTGGTGGAGGAGGACAATGAAGAACTAACCACTGATGAGCTGCAAGATCATCTTCAACAGCAAGAGGCCAGACCTGAGGAAATTGCTTCGGAGGAAGGGATAGAGAAATTGAAGAAGTTGCCTACCTCAAAGATTAAGGAAATGTGTGCAAAGTGGCTTGAAGTGCAAACCTTTTTTGATGAAAATCACCCTCACACAGCTATTGCAAGCCGTGCTGGTGACTATTACAATGACAATGTTGTGAACCACTTTAGGAAAGTCATAAAGGAACAGGAGGTACAGGCCTCTATGGACAGATATGTTGTACGACAGAGGTCCAGTGACTCTCAAGCTGGTCCTAGTAGCATTAAAAGAAGGGAAGTAACCCTGGTAAAGGACTTGATACCTCAAGTCCTAATGGAAGGGGATTCCCCTTCTAAACATTAACAACTTCCACACTCTCCCCTCCTCCCATCCCATCAATCATCACCAGATCTTCAATAAAGGTAAGTGTCAGTTTGTGTGTATTAAAATTAATATTTCATGTGGTAAAAAAATTTTTGTTTTCATACTTTGGGTTGTCTTGCACGGATTAATTTGATTTCCATTATTTCTTATGGGGAAAATTAATTCAGCTAACGATAATTTCAGCTAACGATGAGCTTTTAGGAACGGATTAATATCGTTAGCTGAGGGTCCACTGTAGAATGAACGAATAGAATATTCAATTATCTTGTATTACTGTAAATTTACCTAATGACCATATGTACAAAATTACTGCTCTGTTAATGCCTTATTAAGCTAAAGTTAGTCTTAACCCTTTCAGGGTCAGTCCTGTATATGTATGACTTGAGAGCCAGTGTCAGTCCAGTATTTATACGCTAAAATTCTAGTGCCTTCAAATCTGGTAGGCCTACATATGAAAGAATGGGTCTGCATGGTCAGTGTGCACAGTATAAAAAAATCCTGCAGCATGCAGTACATAATAAAAAAAAAACAGCAAATTTGCAGCAAATTTTCGTATGGTATTTATGATTGTATTCTAGTTTTCTTGGTCTCATTTGATAGAATAGAAGATATATTACAGAAATAGAGATGATTTTGATTGGTTCCACAATGAAAAGTACCTTGAAATTGAGCTCAAAGTAGTGGAAATGTTCAATTTTTGCCAATGTTCAAGAGTAAACAAATCACACCATCCGTCCAATACACGTCAATTGTTGTGTCTAATACTCTTTCACAAGTGCACTGATATTATTTATATGATTTTTACAATAATGCAATAGTCTGCATAACAGTAAATCTTCCATTTTTTGTGAGAATAAAAAATTCAAAATGAAAAGCAAAAGTAATATAAAAGGGGCCTGGAGATGTGACTAATGAACAGAGAAAATGTTGTATGTATTAGTGCCAGTAATGTCTGTCTTGTAAAGTAAAAAGGACACAAGTGCAACTAATATGACATTTATTGTGGCAATGTTTCGCTCTCCAGGAGCTTTATCAAGCCATTACAAACAATACATGGACACAGAAGGTATATATAGGCTCAGAGTGAGGTGCAGTACTGGCGGCGACGGCAGCAGCAGCAGCAGCAGCCACCGCCGCCAGGTTGCACTGAACGTTTCTAAAGTACGTACTTTCACAAGCTAACACCAGAGTCGTCATCGCTTCTAGCACTTCAATAAAGGATCTAACCAGGACAAAACCAAAGCACCACGAACCAGTCAACGCAGGAGTTTACACTATACCCTGTGGAGGCTGTGACAAGATTTACATAGGTGAAACAGCAAGAAACCTCAACACCCACCTCAATGAACACATTTACGCATGTAGGAACGATAACTTGAACAACGCCTGTGTACAACACCGAAATTCCACCAATCATCTCATGAAATTCAGCGACGCCCAATTAGTGATCAAAGAAACTAACTTCCGTAGACGCAAGTGCCTCGAATCAGCACTGATCGCTGTTTCGAATACAATTAAACAAAACAACGGCAGCTTCACCATCTCTGAAGTCTTAGCAAGAATCCTCCTGAAAACAGTAAACCCTGCCATCACATAGTCTCTCCTGTTATACTACACAAAGCACATTACAGAGTGAACACTAAAACAGGCTGCCTCTATCCAGTCTATATTTGTCCAACCTAATTTTATGTTACCCAAGTAATAGCTTCTATATCCTTTTACTCATGTACGGATTAAATGCTCTACCATATTGTATTACTACTACCACTACAACTTTTGTCACTACTACTACTACCACCACCAGTACTGCACCTCACTCTGAGCCTATATATACCTTCTGTGTCCATGTATTGTTTGTAATGGCTTGATAAAGCTCCTGGAGAGCGAAACGTTGCCACAAAAAATGTCACATTAGTTGCACTTGTGTCCTTTTTACTTTACATATTGTCGGTAATTCTACCAACTTTATTACAATGTCTGTCTTGTTTATTCTGAACCCTATTTTGAAATTGGCATCTTTTGAAATTTGTGTGAAATTGGCCAAATTGCCAATTTCTGACCACTTTATTGGGTAGTTGAAATTGGTAAATGGGCAGTTTCTTGTGCTCAATTGATAGAACAAATAGAGTTCTAGTAAAATAGCCATGATTTTAGTCGACTGGAACAATGAAATTGGCCAAAAATAGGGCTCAAAGCGGGCGAAATCGCCGATGCATAAATATCACCAATATCACTAACTTTGCAAGAGAGTAATTTCCTAAGTTTTCCATCAAATTTTGTACTTTTGGTGTCATTACCATCAGGAAAAGATTCTCTATCATTTCATAAGAAAACATTTTTTTTTTTTTTTTTTTAAATTTTTCAACCCTGAAAGAGTCGAGTTTGTGCAAAATCTTCTGCTTATAAAGGGGCTTTTGGCATGTACACCCAACTGTCATACTCCTTTGTGCAAATATGTATCATACTGAAATAAAATTATTATTATTATTATTATTATTATTATTATTATTTCAACGTACCAGCCGTATCCCACCGAGGTGGGGTGGCCCAAAAGGAAAAACTGAAGTTTCTCCTTTCAAATTTATTAATATATACAAGAGAAGGGGTTTATTATTATTATTATTATTATTATTATTATTATTATTATTATTATTATTATTATTACTGGAAAAACATGAAAAAATTATACATTTAGCTATTAGTTTAACCCTTTCAGGGTCCAAGGACAAAATCTGAAGTGGTGCCCCAGTGTCCAAGAATTTTCAAAAAAAAAAAAATTTTTATTTTTTCTTATGAAATGGTAGAGAATCTTTTGTGAAGGAAATAAAACAAAAAGTACGAAATTTGATGGAAAATTGACGAAATTATGCTCTCGTGAATTTTGATGTGTCAGCGATATTTACGAATACGCGATTTTGCCGACTTTGACTCCCATTTTAGGCCAATTACATTATTCCAGTCGACCAAATTCTTAGCTATTTCACTAGCATTACTTCTATTCTATCGATTAAGCACAAGAAATCGCCAAGTCAACCATTTCAACTACAAAATAAAGTGACCGGAAATTGGTAATTTGGCCAATTTAACACAAAGTTCAAAATATTCCAATTTCAAAATAGGGTCCAGAATAAACAATGTAGGTATTCCTGGCACTAAACTAACATTTCCTCTGTTCATTAGTTATGTTTTGAGGCTTTACAAATAAATTCCATTTTGAATTTTTATTCACATAATGAATTTTTATTCACACCAAAAAATAGAAGATTTACTGTTATGCAATATTGTAATAATTGTATAAATATCATCACCACATTTGTGAATGTATGTTAGACCCACCAGCTGGCGTGTATAAGACGTGAGAGGTCGTTTGTTTACTCTTGAACATCGGCAAAAATTTAACATTTCCGCCACTTTGAGCTCAGTTTCAAGCCATTTCCAGTGCTAACACCAATCAAAATTATCTCTACTTCTGTGATATGTCTTCCATTCTATCAAATGAGACCAAGAAATCACAAATACAACTATAAAAAACATACGAAAAAACACTGCAAAGTCGCTGTTTTAATTGAAAATCACGGTCTCAGTTTTTTTTCTCTCATTATACACAGTGTGCTGCAGGATTTGTTTTATGTGGTGCACACATACCACATAGATGTATTCTCTCATATCTAGGCCCAAATTTACCACTCACAGCTTATCAGAGTGAGCTGAGCTCATGACGTAGATCTACGGTTTGGACCCTGAACGTAAAGCCGTAGATCTACGGGACGGACCCTGAAAGGGTTAAGCATGAAGATCTAGTGAATGAGCAGATTAATGACTGAACAGATATTTGGACATATGTGATCAATTGAAAAAGCTTAACTGCTCAAAACAGTACTTGCATAAAGTGAGTATGAATAGTTTAAAAATAAAAATATTTTTCATAACAAGGAGATATTGTAGTACTGTACCTTATAGAAGGAAAATGGGTGAGAGTTGCACATATGGTTGTTGTCACTGCATTCAGCTGAGTAGTGGACACTGTTCCTTCTACATCAAATGCTGGCACTAAGCTTATTCCTCGGTCATCACAGTAACGATCAAGTGATACAACTTCACTGTAACCATAAAATATATTGCTTACTATAATTATGGGCACTGACTTTTTACAAGAGAAAATAGGAGCAACACCTGTGTCTTGGTAAACTGTCTGGTCATCCATAACTATTCTACCATACCAATTATTTTATTTAACTGACAAAACTGAAGAAATACACACTACAGTATATGTGAAGTCATGATATCAAGAAACTGCTCATCTAGAAAACTCATTGTTTAGCATTGTAAAATACAAATCTCATCAATGGTGGAATACAAAAAAAAACATTGAATGAAAGACCTGGGAGAGTAGGGAAGACTGCAGGCTGCAGGTGACACACGTAACATGAGGTGCAGCTGGTTCATTTTCAGGGCAAGCAATGAGTCCACCATCTGGCATACACGTTCCTAGGGAAGAAGGCTCAATTTAGAGAAAACTCATTCAATGTTCCAGTTTTTTATCTTGCGAAGTGAAGTAACTTCTGAAATTCCTTGCAATCTCATACCAATATATTTTAATTTTCTCTCTAATTTCTTTATTTGAAAAACATTCTTATAAAGCAATCAGTCATCTGCAGCATTTTATTATTCTGCAGCTATCATGCACAGATTTCATCATTCATACCTGTAATACACAGCCATGTTATTACGTAGTTCCCCATATGTTAGAACATGACAGATGGACAACAAAACTGCATCTAGTAATAACACTTACCAACGTTGGAACACGAGCATGTGGTGAAACATCTAATAAGACTCCTCGATGAGCAAGTGATGGTTGATCAATAATAACTATTGGAGGAACAGCACCTTTCTCAGTTGCTTCACTGCAGGATGTGCACACACGCAACAGTTGAACAAGTGTCACAAGAGCACTGTGCAGGCTTTCAAGTGACCCACATACCATTGTCACCTGGAATTTTTAACAATGAAAATAGTAAATCAACTTTTCTATGGAATTTCTATCCCATATACATGGGAAATATCTTGTAAAAAATAACAAATTTTACTAGCAAACCATTACTATATCAAATCTGATTAAATAGGAGTAAGCATGTGGAATATCAAACAAAGGGCAACAGGCCAAATAATGCTTTTCTGACAATAATTATTTATAAATACACCTACCATCCGACTTACAATCTGCTTGACATACGACCATTCGACTTATGACCATGTTTTCTATGCCAAATTTCTGGGAAATAAGCAACTGTTTGTATTGTACACAGTGTTTATCCTAAACCTTACAGTATAAAATGCAGTACTAACAGCATAAAAAGTAAAGTAAAAAATTAAATACCAAAATAAAACAATAAAATAGAGTCATTACAAAAATGTGATATCGATATTCAGTAGTAAGGTTCGACTTAGGTCCATTTCGACTTACAACCGGTTTGTCGGAACCAAACTCAGTCGTAAGTCGGATGGTACCTGTATAATTTTTTTTTTTAAACATTTCCCACCGAGGCAGGGTGACCTGAAAAAGAAAAAAAACTTTTTCCTTCTTTTTACATTTGGCAATTTATACAGAAGCTTTTTCCTTACAAGTGTTACTCCACATATACTTACCTCCAGTGGCCAAGTGACAGTTTTACACATCCATACCAGCGGGCCAGTGTTGCTATGATTTTTGTCAGAGGGTCAGTGAATCATGCAGATACTATATACACATATTAGTCTGCAAGCTTTAATTATTTTATATATTATACTTTCTAATACAATTATTGTTCAACTTTTTTAGTAAAACTGCATCTGCAATGCTGTTGTTTATGAAATCGATGGATAAACTATATATACATAGCTCTCGTAATTATCTTCATTCTTAGTCACAGGAAGGCCCCACTTATACAGCAGGTTAGGTTCCAGGCTACTATTGTAAAGGAAAAATCACTGTAAAGTGAAACATAGCCTTTTTTCACTTTCAAATGCATATAAAAGCCTGATAACATATTTACAATATCATTATATTAAGTGAGCAATAGAGCTAGGCCTATAAAATACATATACAGTATACACATTACTTTAAAATATTTTCATCCCAGCTTATAGTGAAAATATTTATTGTAGGAAGTCTGAATAAATGAAGAATGGGTATAATTGGAAACTGCTGTATTAGTGAAGTGCCATAAAGCAGGGCCCTCCTGTATATGTAAAAACTACACCACAAAAACTATTACTTTGCTCTCCTGTATGGCAAGTGTGTACTGATGTGGATGATTGGTGAGCGCTGCATCCACTATGCAAGTAAAGGTATGAGAGGTCGGAGGGTCCCGAGCACCCACCACTGCTCCTAGACTAACATGACAACCAACTTCTTCTAGCCAGCCTTTATGGATATCCCATACATCCACTATCCTAGAACATACACAGTTCAAAAATTAGTAAAAGAAAATTAAAACAATAACAGCACATAATCCGTTCTTATAATGTTCTTATTTAAACACAAGAGAATTTTTTCTTTTAACAAACTGGCCGTATCCTACGGAGGCAGGTGGCCCAAAAAGAAAAACAAGTTTCTCTTTTTAAATTTAGTAATTTATACAGGAGAAGGGGTTAGTAGCCCCTTGCTTCTGGCATTTTATTTGCAACTTACAACAAGCATGGCTTACAGAGGAAGAATTCATAACATAGAATTATTATTTTCTTTCAACAAACTGGCTGTATCCCACCAAGGCAAAGTGGCCCAAAAGGAAAAACGAAAGTTTCTCTTTTTAAATTTTGTAATTTATACAGAAGGGGTTACTAGCCCCTTGCTTCCGGCATTTTACTTGCCTCTTACAACGCGCATGGCTTACGGAGGAAGAATTCATAACATAGAATTATACTACTCAACCCTTTCACTATTAGTGTCAGTGTCAGCGACGTATTAATAGGCCAAAATTCTAGTGGCTTCAAATCTAGTGGGAGAAAGCTGGTAGACCTACATGTGAGAGAATGGTTATGCATGGTCAGTGTGCACAGTATAAAAACAATCCTGCAGCATGCACTGCATGAGAAAAAAAAATTGACCGTGTTTATGGTTTAAAATGCTGACTTTGAGGTGTATTTTCGTATGGTATTTATGATTGTATTCTCATTTTCTTGGTCTCATTTGACAGAATGGAAAATATATTAGAGAAATAGAGATGATTTTGATTGGTTTCACAGTGAAAAGTACCTTGAAATTGAGCTCAAATTATGGGAAATGTTCGATTTTTGCCAATGTTCAAGAGTAAACAAACGATGTCGCCATCCAATACGTGTCCAACTGGCCAGTCTAATACGCAGTCACGAAAGGGTTGACATTATTTATACAATTATTTCAATAATGCAGTAGTCTGTATAACAGTAAATCTTCTATTTTTGTGTGAGAATAAAAATTCAAAATGGAAAGCAAGAGTAATATAAGAGGGGCCTGGAGACTGACTAATGAACAGAGAAAAATGTTATTTTAGTGCAAGGAATGTCTGCATTATTTATTCTGGACCCTACTTTGATACTGGCATCCTTTGAAAATTGTGTAAAACTGGCCAAATTGCCAATTTCTGACCACTTTATTGGGTAGTTAAAATCAGTAAATGGGCGGTTTCTTGTACTCAATCGATAGAACAAATGAAGTTCTAGTGAAATAGCTACGAGTCTGGTCGACTTGAGCAATGGAACTGGCCAAAAATACAGCTCAAAGTGGGTGAAATCACCGAAGTGTATGTATTGCAGAGACCACTAACTTCACAAGAGCGCAATTCTGTAAGTTTTCCATCAAATTTCATACTTTTGGTGTCATTACCATCAGGAAAAGATTCTATATAATTTCATAAGAATTTTTTTTTTTTTTTTTTTTTGAAAATTTTTCAACACTGAGAGCAAGTTTGAGAGCAGAGGTCTCAAAAGTGAAAGGGTTAAATGAGATATAAGCATATTTTATAATCTACATGCAAGATAAAACAGCTTATGGGCATAACATGTACTATCTAGTATGTCACTACTATATATACAATGTTGTAGTTGATTTCAGAGAAATATAACATCATACAGTAGATCAAAATATACGTCACTGCAGTACAGTGGACCCCCGGTTAACGATATTTTTTCACTCCAGAAGTATGTTCAGGTGCCAGTACTGACCGAATTTGTTCCCATAAGAAATATTGTGAAGTAGATTAGTCCATTTCAGACCCCCAAACATACACGTACAAATGCACTTACATAAATACACTTACATAATTGGTCGCATTCGGAGGTAATCGTTATGCGGGGGTCCACTGTATTATACTACAATATACAGTAATACAAATCAATTTTATTTATAGTCTTTATAGAGACAACAATGAAATATGTATCATATAATTCATATCAACAGCTCATAAACAACTGATCTGGTTTTGAGTGCAAATGGTACGATCATCCAGCAGGCTTGTGTGAGCATGTTAGACTGGAGTAAACAGAAACAAGTGGTTTTAACAGCTTGACTTGCTGTTGGAATGTGAGAAAGGTAACATTCATGAAAGTATTCAGGAAAACCAGTTAGCAAGACTTGACTTTGTTAGGCGAGTACAGGTCTGCCATCACAAATCCGGCAACCAGACATCCAGTTCCATCAGTTATTCGGCACTAATTCTGGCTAGCATAATTTCTTTTTCTCCATTTACTGTTATAACCTGCATACTTTTAACTCTAGCCATGGTTCCAACGAACAAAAGAAATGCTTCTCATTGTGTAAAGCACATACACAGTACACTGTCAATAAAAGATAAGGTGGCTTTGATGACACTGTCAGATGCCATGAGTTCAGTCTCATGATGCAGGGGAATATGCTTTATTATTACGCTAATATCAACACTGGCTTATTTGCCTATCACAATTGATCTAATAAGACATAATAAACAATATAAATAAAGACATGTTAAATACTCCAGAATGAATAATATTTGGCATAATACCGAGCGGTTCAATGGAGGTATGAAGAGGATATGGGATACAAGTACCATTCTCCTATCCCTGTCTTGGGGGCTCATATTAGAAAAAACTGAGTAAAGCACAGGGCTAACTTTAATATACACTCATAGTGCACCATAAAACTGAAACAAAAAAGTTATTTTCTCTACAGAGATTATCATACATAGCAGCATGTGTAGAGAACCTAGAATAACCCAAAAAAGACAAAATGACTTATTTCTAGTACCTGGCTTGGGCCTGCCATAAATGGTTTTTGGTGAATAATTTGTTTTTCTCAGTTGTTTGTTGGGCTATCTTATTGAAACTTGGGCAATGTATGATGGAAAGATGCTTCTTAAAGTATACCAAAAATGAAAGAAATTGGACCATAAATAACGGAGTTCACTTCTCAGCCATTAGCCACCCCTTAGCGGTATATTTTCATATGGTGTTTATGGTTGTATTCTCATTTTTTGGTCTCATTTTGATAGTATGGAAGACATACTACAGATGTAGATATGATTTTGATTGCTTTCACGACAAAAAGTACCTTGAAATTGAGCTCAAAGTAGCAGAAATGTTCGATTCTTTGGTGATGTTCAAAAGTAAACAAATGACGTCACCATCCAATACATGTTTGCCTGCCAGTCCAAAATCCAATACACAGTCACAAATGGATTGACATTATTTATACAATTATTACAATAATGCAGTAGTCTGCATAACAGTAAATCTTCTATTTTTTGTGTGAATAAAAATTCCAAATGGTAAGCAAGAGTAATACAAGAGGGACCTGGAGCTGTGACTAATGAACAGAGAAAGTTATTTTAGTGCCAGGAATGTCTGCACTGTTTATTCTGGACCCTATTTTGAAACTGGCATTTTTTGAAATTTGTGTGAAATTGGCCAAATTGCCAATTTCTGACCACTTTATTGGGTATTTGAAATAGGTGAATGGGCAGTTTCTTGTACTCAGTCGACAGAATAGAAATAAGTTTATTCAGGTATACATAAATACAGTTACATAGATTATTATACATAGCAGTGTATGTATTGAGAACCGAGGATAACCCAAAAAAGACAGTGACTTATTTCCAGTACCTGGTTTGGGCTTGCCATATATGACTTTTGGTAAAAAAAAAAATTCTCAGTTGTTTGTTGAACTATCTTACTGAAACTTGGGCAATGTATGATGGACAGATGCTTCTTAACTTACACCAAAAATGAAAACATCAGACAAACATCGGAATTCACTTCTCAGCCATTAGCCGCCCCTTAGCGGTATATTTTTATATGGTTTTCATGGTTGTATTCTCATTTTTTTGGTCTCATTTGACAGAATGGAAGATGTACTACAGAAACAGATATGATTTTGATTGGTTTCACAACAAAAAGTACCTTGAAATTGAGCTCAAAGTAGCAGAAATGTTCGATTCTTGCCAATGTTCAATGGACTTTCTTGTGTAAGTCAAGTTGGTTAACTTTATTAAGTGTATTCTAACCTAACCACTCTGTAATCCGGCAAACTCAATAATCCGGCACACTACAGGTCCCAATGATGCTGGATTTGTGATGGCGGACCAGTTCAGAAAATCATATGAATTGTAATGTCTATGCATTTATGGTAAAATTGATAATGAATGAATAATGATGAATGTGCTTCCTTTTTTGGGGTCAATCTACCTTGGTGGGAGACAGTTTTACAAAAAGCTTTCAAACAGGGAAACTTGCCTGTTTTGATTCCTAAACAAATCAACAAACACATGTTGTGTTTTAGCTATTCAAAGTTTATCTGAACTCATGCTGCCTGTCCATTAACACATGCATGAAGTGCTCATTTTGCCGTCAATAAGCTCTTTTAGATTTCACGCTTACAGTAATGTACTGATAACAAAAATTTGTCATTTTTCCAAAAGATGTACAATATCTAAAAAAGATTTAGCTGGACTCCAGTCCAGCTAACTAGTTTTCTTGAATCCCTTCATAAATGTTACCTTGCTCACACTCCAACAGAACATCAAGTCATAAAAGCCATTTGCCTCTAACACACACTTGTTAGATCAAGTAAATGAAAAAGCCCAGTGACAGAATGCACAATAACATAGTATTTCTTAGATGAGCTCCATAGGTAAGTGAAGATATATATATATGAATACACTACAGCAGAAGATTACTTATGCACAGGTACTGTTCCAGCAACAATAGCCAGAGTGGTGTGTGAAGGGGGAGTCCATCCCGGGCCACTCAGTTCAATGATACGACGAGGCTGTGGCCACAACATATGTAGTGATGAGTGGGTTACTAGACGTCGAGGTGGTGCTGTTAGTTGAGCAGAGGCTAAACGTTCACATACCTGAATAAAGGACGTACTTTTATAGTTTAGCTAAAATTTAATTTCTAAGGTCACATTCATAAATAAATGCTACTTGTCAAAACAAATATTTTTTAAGAATTTGGAATTATGGCAATTAAATTTTTTTGTTTTTAACACGCTGGCCATCTCCCAGCAAAGCAGAGTGACCTGAAAAAGAAACACTTTCATCATCATTCACACTACTACTGTCTTGCCAGAGGTGCACAGATACGTCAGTTTAGATGTCCCTCTCAACAGAAAATATCCCAAACTCCTCCTTTAAAGTGCAGGCATTGTACTTCCCACCTCTAGGACTCTAAGTTCGCCTAACTGGCTTCCCTGAATCCCTTCTCAAAATATTACCTTGCTCACACTCCAACAGCTCGTCAAGTCCCAAAAAACATTTGCCTCCACTCACTCCTAACATGCTCACACATACTTGCTTTATGTCCAGGCCCCTTTCACACAAAACCTCCTTTACCCCCTCCCTCCATCCTTTTTGTTATCTTTACAAATGTCATCTACTCTTTCCCTGCATTACTAGGTTGCATTTTGTTGGATGAAGCTGCTATGAATAGATTTCTCAATGAATAATAGCTCCCAACAAATATGGAGAGCACTTCAGGATTTTCTCTTGTTATGTTAAGCCCCATCAACTAATAACACCCACTACTATTTTCTTTTCACTCAGTTGGGCAAATTTGTTATCAATATGACTAGTAGGTCTGGCTGTTAGTAAATTACATCCAGAAGAGCAGTCAGAAAAATAGTAAACCACTGTATTATCACTATAACTTGTTCCTGTCTATTACACTCTTCATATTTTTTTTTCAGTAAACATATTCATGGTAACCTGTAAACAACATTCTTGTTTGAAGCACATTAATGCACATGTCCTTACTTGTATTTTCTTATTTCTTCTAGTCTTCCATTTTTTTAATTTTTTTTTTTATTATCACACCCCGATTCCCACCAAGGCAGGGTGGCCCGAAAAAGAAAAACTTTCACCATCATTCACTCCATCACTGTCTTGCCAGAAGGGTGCTTTAAACTACAGTTTTTAAACTGCAACATTAACACCCCTCCTTCAGAGTGCAGGCAACTGTACTTCCCATCTCCCAGGACTCAAGTCCGGCCTGCCGGTTTTCCCTAAAATCCCTTCATAAATGTTATTTTTGCTCACACTCCAACAGAAACGTCAAGTATTAAAAACCATTTGTCTCCATTCACTCCTATCAAACACGCTCACGCATGCCTGCGGGAAGTCCAAGCCCCTCGCACACAAAACCTCCTTTACCCCCTCCCTCCAACCCTTCCAGGCCGACCCCTACCCCGCCTTCCTTCCACTACAACTGATACACTCTTGAAGTCATTCTGTTTCGCTCCATTCTCTCTACATGTCCGAACCACCTCAACAACCCTTCCTCAGCCCTCTGGACAACAGTTTTTTGGTAATCCCGCACCTCCTCCTAACTTCCAAACTACGAATTCTCTGCATTATATTCACACCACACATTGCCCTCAGACATGACATCTCCACTGCCTCCACCTTCTCCTCGCTGCAACATTCATCACCCCACGCTTCACACCCATATAAGAGCGTTGGTAAAACTAAAACTCTCATACATTCCCCCTTTGCCTCCAAGGACAAAGTTCTTTGTCTCCACAGACTCCTAAGTGCCCACTCACTCTTTTTTCCCTCATCAATTCTATGATTCACCTCATCTTTCATAGACCCATCCGCTGACACGTCCACCCCAAAATATCTGAAAACGTTCACCTCCTCCATACTCTCTCCCTCCAATCTGATATTCAATCTTTCATCAACCTACTTTTTTTTTACCTCATAACCTTACTCTTTCCTGTATTCCCCTTTAATTTTCTTTTTTTGCACACCCTACCAAATTCATCCACCAACTCTGCAACTTCTCTTCAAATCTCCCAAGAGCACAGTGTCAATCGGCAAAGAGCAGCTGTGACAACCCCACTTTGTGTGTGATTCTTTATTTTTTAACTCCACCGCCTCTTGCCAAGAACCCTCGCATTTACTTCTCTTACAACCCCATCTAAAATATATTAAACAACCCCGGTGACATCACACATCCTTGTCTAAGGCCTACTTTTACTGGGAAAAAATTTCCCTCTTTCCTACATACTCTAACTTGAGCCTCACTATCCTCGAAAAACTCTTCATGCTTTCATAACCTACCCCCCTACACCATACACTTGCAACATCTGCCACATGCCCCCCTATCCACCCTGTCAAAAACGCCTTTTCCAAATCCATAAATGCCACAAAGACCTCTTTAGCCTTATCTAAATACTGTTCACTTTATATGTTTCACTGTAAACACCTGGTCCACACACCCCCTAACCTTTCCTAAAGCCTCCTTGTTCTTTCTGCTATCCTATTCTCCGTCTTACTCTTAATTCTTTCAATTATAACTCTACCATACACTTACCAGGTACACTCAACAGACTTATCCCCCTATAATTTTTGCACTCTCTTTTATCCCCTTTGCCTTTATACAAAGAACTAGCATGCTCTCTGCCAATCCCTAGGTACCTTACCCTCTTCCATACATTTATTAAATAATTGCACCAACCACGTCCAAAACTATATCCCCACCTGCTTTTAACATTTCATCTTTAGCCACAAATCCCGGCTGCCTTACACCCCCTTCATTTTACCTACTGCCTCACGAACTTCCGCACACTCACAACTGCGTCTTCCTGCACCCTACAAGATGTTATCTCCTAAGCCCTTACACGAAAGTCTAAGCTACATTATATTTCTAACATTTAAAATTCCTAAAAATTCCTTCATCTCCAATACTTTAACATCTCCATTTGAATAACTTCCTTTTTTTAACTGAAAATCCATTTGTCCCTCCTATCAAACTGTGAATCTCACTCAAAACTTTTTCATTATCATTCAACAAAATTTGTTTAACATGCCACAATTCATTTGTGTCCTTTTCACAGTAAACATCTCCAAACTTCCTCCTTTTACTCCATGCATTCCACTTCACATCACTTCTAAGTTGCAAAACTGCTCCCTGAATCCCTTCTCAATATTACCTTTTCACACCCAATTCCACCCAAGTCCATACTTCCCTCCACTACTCCTATCATGCTACCACATACTTCTGCAAGTCAGCCCTACACACACTTTTTAACCCTCCCCCATCCTCTTCGTCCATTTGCCAATGTCTCTATTTTCCCTGCACCTCCAAGTGCATTATTCTTGTACCCTAACTCCCTCTTTTTAGTTTAATAAACTTCAACTCTCTCCCTGAATGCTTTATTCTCCTTGGTTTCTCTCCTTTATGTTAGCCCTACAACTAAAACTCACTGATTATCTTTGCCCTCTAGTAGAAATGTTACAAATGAATGTAAGTCTTTATTACCAATTACAATCCAAAAAGCATCAAAATTTCGACCACTATCATACGTGTAACTATTTTCCTTTTTTAAAATATTTTTTACCATAATAAACCCCTTCTATACAAAGTTCAATCAATGGGTTCCATTACATTAATGCAATCCAACTTTATTTACCTACTCTCCTATCTACCCACTTATTTATATATCTTATATATCTTCCAATACAAGCTTCAATCTTTCAACAAACTTTTGCTCTTCTGCACAAGGCAGTGACAAGCACTCATGTGTTGCACAAATCAGTAGTGCCTAGAGTATACAATGGATGAAATGTGAACTTTGCTTACAAAAACTCAAAGAGGGACTATCTTCATCATTTATTTTGAATAACATTTATGAAGGGGTTCAGGGAAACCGGCAGGCCGGACTTGAGTCCTGGAGATGGGAAGTACAGTGCCTGCACTCTGAAGGAGGGGTGTTAATGTTGCAGTTTAAAAACTGTAGTGTAAAGCACCCTTCTGGCAAGACAGTGATGGAGTGAATGATGGTGAAAGTTTTTCTTTTTCGGGCCACCCTGCCTTGGTGGGAATCGGCCAGTGTGATAATAATAATATAACTTATATCAACCTATAAAAGGAAACAGCTTTATTATAAAGTGTTCACCTCTATCCAGTTTTATTATCAGCATTACCTGCTCCATGCGTGGACTGAGTTCTAATGATGAAGAGGACTGTAGAGGGGAACGAGACTGTGGAGTACCTATTGAAGGCTTTCTTGGGGGAATGCCATCACTAGTGCCAGCCTCCACACCTGTCATAACACTGTCAGCACCCATACTTGCTAAAGACTCCAGGGAACCAGATGCTCCTCGAGACAATGCAAGCTCTGAGGGTAAAAACAAAATACATCTGCACTATAATATACTAACTCCAAAATTACAATACCTGTACTACAAATGTCACCTCATTACACTAAAAGGAACTCTGCTAAATTAATTTTTTAAACAGTTAAGGTTATAACATAGAATGCTTCTGGCCTGTAGTCTTTACCTTCAAACAGAACTGTTTGCCAGACTCCTTGCACTCAAATGAATCCATACATCTAAGGTTGACACTTTAATTGTAATTGATTTTCTATCATCCATAAATGATCTCAACTCATTAAGTATAAACTGTGGCATGCTTGTTTCAGAAGCCAGACACAGGTATGGTAGGTTTGTGGACAGTGGAGTCAGAGTGCATATGCTGTGGATTCCATCTCACACTGGTTTTCAGATGCATGATAGAACTGATGAATTGGCTCAGTTGTACGCTTTCAAAGGGGGGTAGATTACAATCTTGGCTTGTCAGTTAGCAGTTTGAGAACAATAATACGAAAAGAACTCCAACTGAATTTTATTGACTTAAGATTGAGGGAGACTGACACCAGTCAGTCCATCTATCATCATTCTATCATGCAGAAGGAGCCACATGCCTATGGTGCATACAACAAAATAAGCAAACTCTTGGATGTCACTACTGCCTGGTGCCAGCTGGGTTAACAAGTATCTTTGGGAGGTTAAATCACCACCACCAGATGTAGACCAAACGAAATGTAAACTTTGCCAGATCGACTATCATCACACCTTGGCTTTCATTACAGTTGAGTTGAAAAACTAACTGATATTCTAAGAGTAGACTGCACCAGTCATCATTATCATCATTCTATCATGGCAGAAGGAACATCCTTGGTGATACAACAAAAAAAGCAAACTCTTGGATGTCAATGCCTGGATGCCAGCTGGGTTAAAGTATTTGGAGGTAAATCACACCACAGATGAGACCAAACGAGAATGTAAGACTTGCAGTGCTATGATGAGAGTGCAGTATGTGATGAGAGCAATAGAAATGATGAATTGCATGAGTATCTCGATGAGAGAAGTAGATGAGTGAGAAGAATGTAGTTGAGTGAGAGGAGTAGAGATGAGAGTGAGTGAGTGAGAGTGAGAGTGAGTGAGAGTGAGTGAGAAGTGAGTGTGAGTGAGTGATGGTGATGAGTGTGAGTGTGAGTGAGTGTGAGTGAGTGTGAGTGAGAGTGAGAGTGAGAGTGAGTGAGGTGAGTGGAGTGAGTGAGTGAGTGTGAGTGGTGAGTGAGTGAGGTGAGTGAGAGTGAGTGATGAGTGAGTGAGAGTGAGTGAGAGTGTGAGTGTGAGGTGAGTGAGAGTGAGTGAGAGTGAGAGAGAGTGAGTGTGAGTGTGAGTGAGGTGAGTGTGAGTGAGGTGAGTGTGAGTGAGTGTGAGTGAGTGTGGAGTGAGTGTGAGTGTGAGTGAGTGAGTGTGTGTGTGTGTTGTGTGTGTGTGTGTGTGTGTGTGTGTACTCACCTATTTGTGGTTGCAGGGGTCGAGTCCTAGCTCCTGGCCCCGCCTCTTCACCGGTTGTGTGTGGTGTGTGTGTGTGTGTGTGTGTGTATGAGTTTGTGTATGAGTGCGTGTGTGTTAGTTACCATTTTGTCCGTGGAGGTGTGTGTGTGTGTGTGTGGAGGTGTGTGTGGAGGTGTGTGTGGAGGTGTGTGTGGAGGTGTGTGTGGAGGTGTGTGTGGAGTGTGTGTGGAGGTGTGTGTGGAGGTGTGTGTGGAGGTGTGTGTGGTGTGTGTGGAGGTGTGTGTGGAGGTGTGCGTGTGGAGGTGTGTGTGCATGTGTGTGTGTGTGTGCTCACCTAACTGTGGTTGCAGGGGTCAAGATTTGGCTCCTGACCCCACCTCTTCACTGATTGCTGCTAGGTCCTCTCTCTCTCTGCTACCTGAGCTTTGTCATACCTTGTCTTAAAGCTATGTATGGTTCCTGCCTCCACTACATCACTTGCTAGACTATTCCACTTCCTGACAACTCTATGACTGAAGAAGTACTTCCTAACATCCCTTTGACTCATCTGAGTTTTCAGCTTCCAGTTGTGACCCCTTGTTCATGTGTCCCCTCTCTGGAACATCCTGTCTCTGTCCACCTTATCTATTCCACGCAGTATTTTGTATGTCGTTATCACGTCTCCCCTGACCCTCCTGTGCTCTAGCGTCGTCAGGCCAATTTCCCTCAACCTTTCTTTGTAGGACATTCCCGAGCTCCGGAACTAACCTTGTTGCAAACCTTTGCACTTTCTGTAATTTCTTGATGTGTTTGACTAGGTGTGGGTTCCAAATTGGTGCTACATACTCCAGTATGGGCCTGATGTACACAGTATACAGAGTCTTGAACAATTCCTTACTAAGGTAACGGAATGCTATTCTCAGGTTCGCCAGGCACCCATATGCTGCAGCAGTTATCTGGTTGATGTGTGCGTGTGTGTGTGCATGTGTGTGCACATGTGTGTGCATGTGTGTGCACGTGTGTGCATGTACTCACATAATTGTACTCGCCTAATTGTGGTTGCAGGGGTCGAGACTCAGCTCCTGGCCCCGCCTCTTCACCGATCACTACTAGGTCCTCTCTCCCCCTGCTCCATGAGCTTTATCATACCTAGTCTTAAAACTATGTATAGTTCCTGCCTCCACTACATCGCTTGCCAGACTATTCCACTTCCTAACTACTCTATGACTGAAGAAATACTTCCTAACATCCCTTTGACTCATCTGAGACTTCAGCTTCCAATCATGACCCCTTGTTTCTGTGTCCCATCTCTGGAACATCCTGTCTCTGTACACCTTATCTATTCCACACAGTATTTTGTATGTCATTATCATGTCTCCCCTGATCCTCCTGTCCTCCAGTGTTGTCAGACCGATTTCCCTTAACCTTTCTTCACAGGACATTACCCTTAGATCTGGAACTAGCCTTGTTGCAAACCTTTGCACTTTCTCTAATTTCTTGACATGTTTGACCAGGTGTGGGTTCCAAACTGGTGCTGCGTACTCCAGTATGGGCCTGATGTACACAGTGTATAAAGTCTCGAACGATTCCTTACTGAGGTACCGGAACGCTATTCTCAGGTTTGCCAAGCGCCCATATGCCGCAGCAGTTATCTGGTTAATGTGGCTTCTGGCGATGTACTCGGTATTATACTCACTCCTAGGTCTTTCTCCTTGAGTGAGGTTTGCAGCCTTTGGCCTCCTAGCCTATACTCTGTCCATGGTCTTCTTTGCCCTCCTCCAATCTTCATGACTTTGCATTTGGCGGGGTTAAATTCTAAGAGCCAGTTTCTGGACCACGCATCCAGCCTGTCCAGGTTTCTTTGTAGACCTGTCTGGTCTGCGTCTGATTTAATTCTCCTCATTAACTTCACGTCATCTGCAAACAGGGACACTTGAGTCTATCCCTTCCGTCATGTCCTTCACATATACCAAGAATAGCACTGGTCCCAGGACTGACCCCTGTGGGACCCCGCTCGTCACTGGCGCCCTCTGTGATACCTCATCACGGACCATGATTCGCTGTTGCCTCCCTGTTAGATATTCTCTGATCCACTGCAGTGCCCTTCCTGTTATACGTGCCTGTTCCTCTAGCTACTGTACTAATCTCTTGTGAGGAACTGTGTCGAAGGCCTTCTTGCAGTCCAAGAAAATGCAATCAACCCACCCCTCCCTCTGTGTGTGCATGTGTGTGTGAGTGCATGTGCATGTGTGTGCACTGTGTATGTGCATGTGTGTGCACACATGTATGTGCATACGTGTGTGTCCCAATTAATATTTGCACTAATAACTCATTACAGCTATGACCAGGTGTAGATGTGTGAATGCCTCATTACCTTTGTAACTTGGTCATGATTGTGACCAGATATAGACATGTAAAAGTTCATTACCTTTGTAACTTGTTCAGCCATCAAAACTTTGGGGCCCAGTCCCTGGACCCATTATGTACCATTGTAATCTTTTGACTACCGCCCACAGGATAGGCATGTGGTGCATAATAAAGATATGAAACTAACTATAGTCTTAATTCAAGAAAGAACCAGTAATCATTAAAATGTGTTTTCAAATATATTTTGTTTATTTTCTTTTCATTTTTGCACCACTTGTTAATGCTATGAAATGTATGCTAGGTTTTATACTTGGATTTGAAAAATTCATCAATACAAGTCTCCCTTGCTTTATGTAACAGATGCATTCTTGGTGTAGAGTGGAAATAACACAAAGCAGAGAGATTCAATCTCAGACTTTGGAAACTCCAGATTTTTTGGACAGATGGTTACCAAAATGTTTGAGCTTAATCACACATACACCCAATAGTCATACACAAAAGAAATGAATTTGGTAAAAAAAAAAAAAGTACAGTGGACCCTCGGGTAACAATTTTAATCCGTTCCAAAGAGCTTGTCCTTAACTGATTTTATCATTAGCCGAATTAATTTTCCCCTTAAGAAATAATGGAACTCCAATTAATCTGTTCCACACAGCCAAAAGTACTAAAAAAAATAATTTTTTTTACATGAAATATACATTTCCCTACAAAGAAAACAATGAGACATGCACAATAAATACATACTAAAATGATACTTACCTATATTGAAGAGTATTGATGAGTGATGAGACACTGTTTTTCTTGAACACTCTGGGATTTTCAGAGTGATACATGAGTAAAGGCTTCACTTTGCCATTCCCACTAGCATTACAACAAAACATGAGAGTTACCCTGTCTTTCATAGGCTTGTGTCCTGGGAGTGCCTTTTCCTTCTGAGTAATGTAGGTCCTGTTTGGCATTTTCTTCCAGAACAGGCCTGTTTTGTCACAAATGAACACTTGTTGGGGTTGGAATTTTTCAGCTTTGCCATGCCTTATCACACTGTTTATGCCACTACGATTTTTAAATCTCTCAAGCCAATCTTTGCTGGCCTTAAATTCACCAATATGAGCACTAGTTCCAGGCATTTTTCCTGTTCACCTGGGTTTTAGTCGACTGGTGTGGGTCGCATCCTGGGCGACAAGATTAAGGACACCAGTGGAAATAAGTTAGACAGTCCTCGATGATGCACTGACTTTCTTAGGTTATCCTGGGTGGCTAACCCTCTGGGGTTGTTTCTCGGTAATTGTTTCTCGTTAAGCACACCAACAACAGTCTCTGCACATCTTCGAGTAATGCAGCTGACGGTGGTGCAGCAGCAGCTAACAGTGGTGCAGCAGCAGCTGACCGTGGTGCAGCAGCAGCTGACCGTGGAGCAGCAGCAGCTGAACGTGGTACGATAGTATTTCGATAGTATTTCTCACCCTTTTTACCACAGGGTTGGCACTAGAAGCTTCTTTGGGCCCAAAGTGGCTTATTTTGCAGTTTTTTTTTTCTTTTTAACAAGTCGGCCATCTCCCACCAAGGCAGGGTGACCCAAAAAGAAAGAAAATCCCCAAAAAGAAAATACTTTCATCATCATTCAACACCTTCACCTCACTCACATAATCACTGTTTTTGCAGAGGTGCTCAGAATACAACAGCTTTGAAGTATATAAGTACAAAGATACACAACATATCCCTCCAAACTGCCAATATCCCAAACCCCTCCTTTAAAGTGCAGGCATTGTGCTTCCCATTTCCAGGACTCAAGTCCGGCTATATAAAATAACCGGTTTCCCTGAATCCCTTCACTAAATATTACCCTGATCACACTCCAACAGCTCGTTAGGTCCCAAATACCATTCATCTCCATCCACTCCTAACACGCTCATGCATGCTTGCTAGAAATCCTAGCCTCTCACCCACAAAACCTCCTTTACCCCCTCCCTTACAACCTTTTCGAGGACAACCCCTACCCCGCCTTCCTTCCCCTACAGATTTATACGCTCTCCATGTCATTCTACTTTGATCCATTCTCTCTAGATGACCAAACCACCTCAACAAACCCACTTCAGCCCTATGACTAATACTTTTATTAACTCCACACCTTCTCCTAATTTACACACTCCGAATTTTCTGCATATTTACACCACACATTGCCCTTAGACAGGACATCTCCACTGCCTCCAACCGCCTCCTCGCTGCAGCATTTACCACCCAAGCTTCACACCCATATAAGAGTGTTGGTACTACTATACTTTCATACATTCCCTTCTTTGCCTCCATAGATAACATTTTTTGCCTCCACATATACCTCAATGCACCACTCACCATTTTTCCTTCATCAATTCTATGATTAACCTCATCCTTCATAAATCCATCCACTGACACGTTAACTCAAAAATACGTGCAAACATTCACTTCTTCCGTACTACTCCTCCCCAATTTGACATCCAATTTTTCTTTATCCAAATCATTTGATACCCTCATCACCTTACTCTTGTCTATGTTCACTTTCAACTTTCTACCTTTACACACACTCCCAAATTCGTCCACTAACCTTTGCAATTTTTCTTTAGAATCTCCCATAAGCACAGTATCATCAGCAAAAAGCAACTGTGTCACTTCCCATTTTGTATTTAATTCCCCATAATTTAATTCCACCCATCTCCCCAACACCCTACAATTTACTTCTTTTACAACCCCCATCTATAAATATATTAAATAACCATGGTGACATTACACATCCCTGTCCAAGACCTACTTTTACTGGGAAGTAGTCTCCCTCTCTTCTACACACCCTAACCTAAGCCTCACTATCCTCATAAAAATTCTTTACATCATTTAGAAACTTACCACTTATTCCATATACTTGCAACATCTGCCACATTGCTCCCCTATCCACTCTATCAAATGGCTTTTCCAGATCCATAAATGCAATAAAAACTTCCCTACCTTTATCTAAATATTGTTCACATATATGCTTCAATGTAAACACTTGATCAACACATCCCCTACCCACTCTAAAACCTCCTTGCTCATCTGCAATTCTACATTCTGTCTTACCTCTAATTCTTTCAATAATAACCCTACCGTACACTTTTCCTGGTATACTCAGTAAATTTATTCCTCTATAATTTTTACAATCTCTTTTGTCTCCCTTCCCTTTATATAAAGGGACTATACACGCTCTCCACCAATCCCTAGGTACCTCCCCCTCTTTCATACATTTATTAAACAAAAATACCAACCACTCCAACACTATGTCCCCCCCTGCATTTAACATTTCTGTCATGATCCCGTCAGTTCCAGCTGCTTTACCCCCTTTCATTCTACGTAATGCCTTGCACACCTCCTACACACTCACATCCTACTCTTCTTCACTCCTAAAAGATGGTATACCTCCGTGGCCAGTGCATGAAATTACCGCCTCCCTTTCTTCGTCGACATTTAGAAGTTCCTCAAGATATTCTTGCTATCTACCCAATACCTCCATCTCCCCATCTACTAACTCCCCTACTCTGTTTTTAACTGACAAATTCATTCATTCCCTAAGCTTTCTTAACTTGTTTAACTCACTCCAAAATTTTTTCTTATTTTCATTAAAATTTTTGACAGTGCCTCTCCCACTCTATCATCTGCTCTCCTTTTGCACTCTCTCACCACTCTCTTAACCTCTCTGTTACTCTCCATATACTCTACTCTTCTTTTAACACTTCAGCTTTGTTAAAACCTCTCATAAGCTACCTTTCTCTCTTTCATCACACCCTTTACTTCATCATTCCACCAATCATTCCTCTTTCCTCTTGCACCCACCCTCCTATAACCACAAACTTCTGCCCCACATTCTAATACTGCATTTTTAAAACTATTCCAACCCTCTTCAACCCCCCCCCCCCCCCACTACTCATACTTGCACAAGCCCACCTTTCTGCCAATAGTTGCTTATATCTCACCCAAACTTCGTCCTCCCTTAGTTCATACACTTTCACCTCCCTCTTACTTGTTGTAGCCATTTTCCTCTTGTCCCATCTACCTCTTACTCTAACTGTAGCTACAACTAGATAATGATCCGATATATCAGTTGCTCCTCTATAAACGTGTACATCCTGGAGCCTAGCCATCAACCTTTTATCCACCAATACATAATCTAATGAACTACTTTCATTACGTGCTATATCATACCTTCTATACTTATTTATCCCCTTTTTCATAAAATATGTATTACTTATTACCAAACCTCTTTCTACACATAGCTCAATTAAAGGCTCCCCATTTTCATTTACCCCTGGCACCCCAAATTTACCTACTACTCCCTCCACAACATTTTTACCATCTTTAGCATTAAAATCCCCAACCACAAGTACTCTCACACTTGGTTCAAAACTCCCCATGCATTCACTCAACATTTCCCAAAATCTCTCTCTCTCCTCTACACTTTTCTTCCCCAGGTGCATATACGCTTACTATAACCCTCTTCTCACATCCAACCTTTATTTTATTTCACATAATCCTTGAATTAATACATTTATAGTCCCTCTTTTCCTGCCATAGCTTATCCTTCAACATTATTGCTACTCCTTCTTTATCTCTAACTCTATTTGAAACCCCTGACCTAATCCCATTTATTCCTCTCCACTGAAACTCACCCACCCCCTTAAGCAGTTACAAGCACTAAAAACAATGGAATAATACAAAATGTATCGAATGTATGTGTGGAACCATCCGCCCTGGCTTGTAAACAGCAGCACAGTAGCTGAAGGCAGGGCAGCTGAGGCACTCAGGCCAGACGGACAGGTGGACGGGTTCGGGACAAATGTCCCTAACCAAGTTTTTCATCATTGGCTGAGCCAATATTTTTACGCAAAGACGCATCGATATCCAATTTTATCGCCAGCTGATGTCACCTGAGGGTCCACTGTACAATCCAAAACTCATTCTTAATCCCAATACAATAATAAAAAAAAATTCTTTATTTATTTTCACCAAAAAATTACAAACATACTAGTTAAGCACCAAACATCCAAATCCAAAAATAAATATAAATAAGAAGAAAAATGTTTCCAAAATTCAATCATAATCTTCCTCCTTTTTACCCTTCCTCCTTCCTTGCTCCACCACCAACCAAAGAGACTGTCTTTATCTGGATTGAAGTGCACATGTTATGACCCTGTGAGTTCATATTTTCCCTACTGCTCCTTCCCTCCCTTCACCCCAATCCCAATTTTGAGGTGGCACAACTCAACTTTGTCGGTTTAGGTGCCCATTTTCTTTTGCCTTGACAGAAAACACTGAAACTGAAAATAACCACAGGATTTCATTCAAAATATACTCACTGGATTTCCCAATCTCAATTTTTTTTTTTTGTTATTTTTTCTAATGCACTTCAATATTAATCTAGTTCGGTAATTTTTTAAGGTCATTTTGTTGAAAATTATGTAATGCTTGGCTTGGGCAATCATACAAGAGTTAATTTATATATCATGTAGCAAATTACTGGTAGAAATATGGTCGCATCACATAAGCACACTTGCACAGAGCAAAACAGCATAAAGCGAGGGAAACCCCTTTACAATAGAATAAGAACACACCACTTTTTTTTTTTTAACAGGTCAGCCGTTTCCCACCAAGGCAGGGTGACCCAAAAACAAAGAAAAAACTTTCATCATCGTTCAACACTTTCACCATCATTCACACACAACCACTGTCTTTGCAGAAGTGCCCAGTTTAGATGTCTCTCCAAATAGCCAATATTACCACTTACAGAATTGATATGTCCAACTCAGGTCTAACTCTGCAAAAACTATGTTGATTTATAAAACTGTTGCTCAGTCTTACTGTATTATTTTAGCCTCACCTCTGCTTGTCAATGACGCCGCTCCAATAATGGAGAAACACTACCATTATCAATGCCATTGACTTGTACTGGTTTATTTTCCAAGAAATATTGTTGCATTAGTTCCTGAAGTTGTGGCTTCCTTGATGCCATTTCCAGGGGTGTCTTCCCTTTGTGGCGTCTAATGGATAAAAAAGTAAGAAATTACTATTCAAAATGTTTACACCATACTAATATTTTATATTTTAACTATTCATTCAACAAAGATGACACACTTGTATGCAGAACATCATCTGATCAATACTTCCATCAACAAAGTTATGGGTTAATTAAGTGATCTGTAGTAGCATATCATTAGAAATCATTGATTACCATGCAAAAAGATTTTTGTTTCCAGTTGTACGCTATTGGGAGGGACCTACAATACTTCTGTTTTTTCTATACATTTCTACTGACTCTAAACCCACCAACATCATGCAGTGCCTGATTAATGGGAGACTCTCGTATTTCATTCAAGGAAGGAAATGGTAACTCTAATTCCTTGGATAAACAACTTTTCAAAAACATCACAGAACCTTCCATGAAGGTCCAGAAATGCTGCTGCTCATTTTACAAGTGTTAAATGAATATTTTGTTTACAACTGCAGTTGTCATTAAACCATATTTTTTTTAACACACAGGCCGTCTCCCACCAAGGTAGGGTGACACGAAAATTAAGACACACTTTCACCATCACTCACTCCATAACTGTCTTGCCAGAGGTGTGCTGATACTACAGGTAATTAGTGTTACTTGATCACACTCCAACAGCATATCAAATCATAAAAACCACTGCCAATATACAGACGAAACTTTTTTTTTCAGCATACCAGCCATCTCCTGCCAAGGCAGGATGACCCAAAAAAGGAAACTAAAAAGTTGTCTTCATTTTACATTTAGTAATTTAGACAGGAGAAAGGGTTACTAGACCCTTGCTCACAACCTTTTAGTCACCTTTCACAACACACACAGCTTACAGAGGAAAGATTCTTTTCCATTTTCCCATAGAGATACATACTAATATGTGTTGTAAATAACTCACTGGCATCAGTGTCTCCACTCTCCGAAATATTATGATAAACTAACACCAGTGTTATCTTCCAAAAATGCACCATCCTCGTGTCATGATGCCCACTTTGTTAAAACAAATACAAACTCCTTTCTATGGCATGAAGCATATGTACAGTAGGTTTTGTAATGGATAGATAGTTGGTTAGTAGGTTGGTAGACAGCAACCGCCCAGGGAGGTACTACCGTCCTGCCAAGTGAGTGTAAAACGAAAGCCTGTAATTGTTTTACATGATGGCAGGATTGCTGGTGTCCTTTTTTCTGTCTCATAAACATGCAAGATTTCAGGTACAACTTGCTTCTTCTACTTACACTTAGGTCGCACTACACATACATGTACAAGCATATATATATACACACACCCCTCTGGGTTTTCTGCTATTTTCTTTCTAGTTCTTGTTCTTGTTTATTTCCTCTTATCTCCATGGGGAAGTGAACAGAATTCTTCCTCCATAAGCCATGCGTTTTGTAAGAGGCGCCTAAAATTCTGGGAGCAAGGGGCTAGTAGCCCCTTCTCCTGTATAAATTACTAAATTTAAAAAGAGAAACTTTTTTTTTTTTTTGGGGGGGGGGGCACCCTGCCTCGGTAGGATGCGGCCGGTTTGTTGAAAGAAAAAAGATAGTTGGTTCTTAGACCCAAGATGCTCCTGCAATAACACTTATGCCAAACCTTGCTCAAATGAAGCCTGTGAAAATTAATATGTTAATCCATGAAAAGCCAATTTCCTACATAACACAAGATCTGCATGATTAATAACCTATGTCCTAATGGGTTCAATACATTCACACAGTTTAATGTTTTAGCCATGTTTCCTGTAAGAATTATGAATGAAAAGCTCGATCGCTAGCGCACTCAACTCACACACTGAGGTCCCGGGTTTGAATCTCCTCCGGTACGGCTGGAAAACATTAGGGCTGTGTTTCCTTAAAACACCTGCTGTCCCTGCCCCTGTTCACCCATCAGTTTAAAATAGGTACCTAGGTGTTAGTCAACTGGGATAAAACTGACCTAATTTGCCCCAAATGCTCAGCATAACAAGTGGCTTTCTATGTAGTAGTATGTCATTGATGTCAGTTTGGCCTATATACCATGTATATGTACTTGTAGTAAATAGAGATATTATTATTATTTCTTTCAACACACCGGCCGTATCCCACCGAGGCGGGGTGGCCCAAAAGGAAAAACCAAACTTTCTCCTTTTACATTTAGTAATATATACAGGAGAAGGGGTTACTAGCCCCTTGCTCCTGGCATTTTAGTCGCCTCTTACAACACGCATGGCTTACGAAGGAAGAATTCCATTCCACTTCCCCATGGAGGTAAGAGGAAATAAACAAGGACAAGAACTAGAAGAAAACCCAGAGGGGTGTGTATATATATGCTTGTACATGTATGTGTAGTGTGACCTAAGTGTAAGTAGAAGTAGCAAGACGTACCTGAAATCTTTATGTTTATGAGACAGAAAAATGGACACCAGCAATCCTATCATCATGTAAAACAATTACAGGCTTTCATTTTACACTCACTTGGCAGGACGGTAGTACCTCCCTGGGCAGCTGCTGTCTACCAACCTACTACCTTTAATTATTATTTTTTTTTTTTTTCAACAAGTTGGCCGTCTCCCACTGAGGCAGGGTGACCCAAAAACGAAAGAAAATCCCCAAAAAGAAAATGCTTTCATCATCATTCAACACTTTCACCACACTCACACATAATCACTGATTTTGCAGAGGTGCTCAGAATACAACAGTTTAGAAGCATATACGTATAAAGATACACAACATATCCCTCCAAACTGCCAATATCCCAAACCCCTCCTTTAAAGTGCAGGCATTGTACTTCCCATTTCCAGGACTTAAGTCCGACTATATGAAATAACCGGTTTCCCTGAATCCCTTCACTAAATATTACCCTGCTCACACTCTAACATCGTCAGGTCCCAAGTACCATTCGTCTCCATTCACTCCTATCTAACACGCTCACGCACGCTTGCTGGAAGTCCAAGCCCCTTGCCCACAAAACCTCCTTTACCCCCTCTCTCCAACCCTTTCGAGGATGACCCCTACCCCTCCTTCCTTCCCCTATAGATTTATATGCTTTCCATGTCATTCTACTTTGATCCATTCTCTCTAAATGACCAAACCACCTCAACAACCCCTCTTCTGCCCTCTGACTAATACTTTTATTAACTCCACACCTTTTCCTAATTTCCACACTCCGAATTTTCTGCATAATATTTACACCACACATTGCCCTTAGACAGGACATCTCCACTGCCTCCAACCGTCTCCTCTCTGCTGCATTTACCACCCAAGCTTCACACCCATATAAGAGTGATGGTACTACTATACTTTCATACATTCCCTTCTTTGCCTCTATAGATAACATTTTTTGACTCCACATATACCTCAATGCACCACTCACCTTTTTTCCCTCATCAATTCTATGATTAACCTCATCCTTCATAAATCCATCCGCCGACACGTCAACTCCCAAGTATCTGAAAACATTTACTTCTTCCATACTCCTCCTCCCCAATCTGATATCCAATTTTTCTTTATTTAAATCATTTGATACCCTCATCACCTTACTCTTTTCTATGTTCACTTCCAACTTTCTACCTTTACACACATTCCCAAACTCATCCACTAACCTTTGCAATTTTTCTTTAGAATCTCCCATAAGCACAGTATCATAAGCAAAAAGTAACTGTGTTAATTCCCATTTTGAATTTGATTCCCCATAATTTAATACCACCCCTCTCCCGAACACCCTAGCATTTACTTCTTTTACAACCCCATCTATAAATATATTAAACAACCATGGTGACATTACACATCCCTGTCTAAGACCTACTTTTACTGGGAAGTAGTCTCCCTCTCTTCTACACACCCTAACCTGAGCCTCACTATCCTCATAAAAACTCTTTACAGCATTTAGTAACTTACCACCTATTCCATATACTTGCAACATCTGCCACATTACTCCCCTATCCACTCTATCATATGCCTTTTCTAAATCCATAAATGCAATAAAAACTTCCCTACCTTTATCTAAATACTGTTCACATATATGCTTCAATGTAAACACTTGATCTACACATCCCCTACCCACTCTGAAACCTCCTTGCTCATCTGCAATCCTACATTCTGTCTTACTCTAATTCTTTCATTATAACCTACCATACACTTTTCTGTTTACAAGTCTGTCTCCCGAGCAGTGACCCCAAAAAGGAAAATCCCAAAGAAAATACTTTCATCCATTCAACTTCACCACTCACACATTATCCTGCTTAGAGTTAGAAACATTAAAAATTCGTATAGATCCAACATCCTCCAACTGCAATATCCAAACCCTTTAATGCAGCATGTACTCCCATTCCGACTCAATCCACTATATACTCTTATTATCCTCTAAATTATTCCCTATAATTTACAATCTCTTTTGTCCCCTTTCCCTTTATATAAAGGGACTATACATGCTCTCCGCCAATCCCTAGGTACCTTCCCCTCTTTCATACATTTATTAAACAAAAGTACCAACCACTCCAACACTATATCCCCCCCTGCTTTTAACATTTCTGTCATGATCCCATCAGTTCCAGCTGCTTTACCCCCTTTCATTCTACGTAATGCCTCACGTACCTCCCCCACACTTACATTCTGCTCTTCTTCACTCCTAAAAGATGGTATATCTCCCTGACCAGTGCATGAAATTACCACCTCCCTTTCTTCCTCAACATTTAAAAGATCCTCAAAATATTCTCGCCATCTACCTAATACCTCCCTCTCCCCATCTACTAACTCCCCTACTCTGTTTTTAACTGACAAATCCATACTTTCCCTAGGCTTTTTAACTTGTTTAACTCACTCCAAAATTTGTTCTTATTTTCATTAAAATTTCTTGACAGTGCCTCTCCCACTCTATCATCTGCTTTCCTTTTGCACTCTCTCACCACTCTCTTCAACTTTCTTTTACTGTCCATATACTCTGCTATTCTTATAACACTTCTGCTTTGTAAAAACCTCTCATAAGCTAACTTTTTCTCTTTTATCACACCCTTTACTTCATCATTCCACCAATCACTCCTCTTTCCACCTGCCCCCACCCTCCTATAACCACAAACTTCTGCCCCACATTCTAATACTGCATTTTTAAAACTATTCCAACCCTCCTCAACCCCCCCACTACTCATCTTTGCACTAGCCCACCTTTCTGCCAACAGTCGCTTATATCTCCCCCGAACTTCCTCCTCCCTTAGTTTATACACTTTCACCTCCCTCTTACTTGTTGTTGCCACCTTCCTCTTTTCCCATCTACCTCTTACTCTAACTGTAGCTACAACTAAATAATGATCCGATATATCAGTTGCCCCTCTATAAACATGTACATCCTGGAGCCTACCCATCAACCTTTTATCCACCAATACATAATCTAACAAACTACTTTCATTACGTGCTACATCATACCTTGTATATTTATTTATCCTCTTTTTCATAAAATATGTATTACTTATTACCAAATCTCTTTCTACACATAGCTCAATTAAAGGCTCCCCATTTACATTTACCCCTGGCACCCCAAATTTACCTACTACTCCCTCCATAACATTTTTACCCACTTTAGCATTGAAATCCCCAACCACCATTACCCTCACACTTGATTCAAAACTCCCCACGCATTCACTCAACATTTCCCAAAATCTCTCTCTCCTCTACACTTCTTTCTTCTCCAGGTGCATACACGCTTACTATAACCAACTTTTCACATCCAATCTTTATTTTACTCCACATAATCCTTGAATTAATACATTTATAGTCCCTCTTTTCCTGCCATAGCTTATCCTTCAACATTATTGCTACTCCTTGTTTAGCTCTAACTCTATTTGAAACCCCTGACCTAATCCCATTTATTCCTCTCCATTGAAACTCTCCCACCCCCTTCAGCTTCATTTCACTTAAAGCCAGGACATCCAGCTTCTTCTCATTCATAACATCCACAATCATCTCTTTCTTATCATTTGCACAACATCCACGCACATTCAGACTTCCCACTTTGACAATTTTCTTCTTATTATTCTTTTTAGTAATCTTTACAGGAAAAGGGGTTACTAGCCCATTGCTCCCAGCATTTTAGTTGACTTTTACAACACGCATGGCTTACGGAGGAAAGATTCTTATTCCATTTCCCCATGGATATAAAAGGAAAAGTAATAAGACCAAGAACTATTAAGATAAAATCAAAGAAAACTCAGATGAGTGTGTATAAATAAACGTGTACATGTATGTGTAGTGTGACCTAAGTGTAAGTAGAAGTAGCAAGACATACCTGTAATCTTGCATATTTATGAGACAGACAAAAGACACCAGCAATCCTACCATCATGTAAAACAATTACAGGCTTTTGTTTTACATTCACTTGGCAGGACGGTAGTACCTCCCTGGATGGTTGCTGTCTACCAACCTACTACCTATAATTATTATTATTATTATTATTATTATTATTATTATTTTCTTAGGGATTTGGCAGTGTGTTTAGACCTTTGTTACAAAGAATATTTTTGGCAAGCCTTGATGTATAGCAACTGCAATTTTGATCAGTATGATGTTAGGTGCTCTAGATATTTGAAAGCAGGGCGAATCTCAGTATATATATATGAATAAAATATTTATAACGAGTATACTACTCCATATAATAAATGTATCTTAATACATAATCCTATACTTTGAATATCTTGTATGAAGTCATCCCCATGTATTCTACTGTACTAATCTAACAGTTCTTTTATTTATGTTAATCAGAGGGAAATGCTAAACCTGTAGGGGTTGTATAGCAACTGGGGAATGGGAGGTAAACAGGTTTAATCCAAGAAGAGAGAGGATAAGTCCAGCTCCTTACATCAAGAGCCCTTCACCCTGTAGGGTTCAATGAGCTAGAAGTAGAAGCGATATGTATTACCTGATTATATTTGTGTATAGACCATGCCTTAATCAAGGAATAATCCATAATGCAGAGAGAGTATAGTAATTATAAAGTAACTCATTCCTGTTTCTGGAGTCTCTATCACAAGCCTACTCAGATGGGAAAGTGTATCACCTTCTTCAAATTTAACATCCCTGAACTAGACAAGTTTTTACAATAAGTTTAAAATGATAAATTTCTGTTATATAAAGGTTACCCCTTGTAGCACTGGATGTGTGGATTAGCATCATGGTCCAAAAGAATCCTCACAATATTTTCATCTCCACGAGCAACAGCATCATGCAGGGAAGTTGCACCATCACTGTTGGCTGCATTCACATCTGCCCCACGAGCTGCAAACAAAATCACGTTGGATATTTATTTACCAACTCAACACCTTAGGCAACAGACAGATTTCTGATTGTCTGGGTAGGTTTCATCAGTGGACTGGTCACATAAAATTTTGTACAGATTTTCTTAACAATAAACTTTTAGATTTATATTACTTACCTTCTGTTAAGCTTTAGCTAGGTTATATCACTGTCCATCAATCAAAATTAAAGAATTATAACATACCACAAAACCACTAAATGAGATATAATAGAGGTAATTAAATTCTTTGACAAGCAATCAGAAAACTAGGCACATGAACAGAAAATGGACCCACCGAGCTCCTAAGAAAATACATGGTCACAATCATCTATGACATTTTCTCTGCCTTTATTCACTAACTTCGATTCATCAACCACTTTAGCATTCTGTATTATTTCTATTTGCTACATAATAGCAGAGATGGTAGATTGTGGAAAGCCATACTCATGTACCAATGCACTAATTTTTTGCTTGATTTTCAGAGGAATGGCCTGTTTACTGCACACTTTAGGGGCCATGATGATTTGGTAACACAAAAGATGGTGTAATTATAACACAAATGCAGTCATGAAGGACAAATAATCCAGAATTAGTGCAGAAAACACCTGTGATAGCTTCAAACTGAAGAGTAAAAAAGTAAACGGTAGTACAAACTCTGCTATTGGATGGAAGGCTTTGAGACACATTCAACCCCATTGCTGATTGGCTGCTAAGCCACCTTCACAGCCCCTCCCCACTCCTATTGGCTCAGATGTTCTTCAAGGCACAAGCTACTGCATTGCTAGTTGGCTAAGGCCTACCCACACAAGAACTGACACTCCTATTGGCTCAGATCTTGTCCAAGAGGCAAGCTACCATATTGCTAGTTGGCTGAGACCCACCCACAACCATGTGAACGTTAGATAGGAGTGAGTGGAAGCAAATGGTTTTTGGGACTTGATGAGCTGTTGGAGTGTGAGCAAGGTAACATATGTGAAGGGATTCAGGGAAATCAGCTAGCCAGACTCGAATCCTGGAAGTGGGAAGTATGGTGCCTACACTCTGGAAGGGGTGGAGATATGTTGCAGTTTTTCAACTCTAGTATCGGCATGTCTATGGCAAGACTGTGATAGAGTGAGTGATGACAAAAGTGTTTCTTCTTTTTTGGGTTACCCTACCTCTTTGGGAAATGGCCAGTGTGTTAAAAAAAAAAACAGGGTCAGTAGGATGAAATTTATATAATAAAATTTATACAGCCTCTCCTCACTTAGCGATGTACATGTTTACCAACTGCTCGGAGTTATGGCCAGCTCTCCAACCAATATGAAAACCTATGTATATTAGAGCCAATTTCCTCTATTCTGTTTATTACAGCATATAGTACACTACTGTATGCTGTAATAAAATATACCAAAAATGTTATACATTGTGCAAAGGTGACATTAAAAAAATTTCTAAAGATGACTGACACGAACCCACTACCAGTACAGTATGCTCCTCGCTTAACGACCAATCTGCTTATCAACCTACTCTTAGGAATGGAACTCAGTCATTAAGTGAGGAAAAACTGTAATACAAAAAGTATGCTTTGTATTAATGTTGGTAGAATTACCGACAATATGTTAGGTAAAAGGAGAAAAGTGCAACTAATGTGACATTTTATGTGGCAACATTTTTCTTGACAAAGCTCCTGGGCAGTGAAACATTGCCACAATAAAATGCCACATTAGTTGCACTCATGTCTTTTTACCTAACAAAATGTATGCTATATGTAAAAAACTTCTCCATGGGGAAATGGAACAGAATTCTTCCTCTGTAAGCCAAGCTTGGGAGCAAGGGGCTAGTAACCCCTTGTCCTGTATATATTACTAAATTTAAAAGGAGAAACATTCATTTTTCCTTTTGGGCCATCCTGCCTCAGTGGGATATGGCCAGTTTGTTCAAAGAAGATGTAAATAACAAGCATAAAAGAAATTAAAGTGGCCAACAATACAAGAACAATTTTTATATTTACCAATTAGACATGTAAGAGTATCGCTGTCAGCAAAGGACGCTGCCCAGTGCAGAGGAGTATTACGACTAAGTGGGTTGTCATGGGAGTTAATACTAAGTCCAGCTGCAGTCAGCTGACATACACGCCCAACACTGAAACCAAAATCATCCAATTTAGCAAAATACTTGATGGCAATACTCAAACACAAAAAAAAACATGGCACATATAGTGGTAGCTATTAAAGCATGATGGGTGGAAGTCACCCAACATGATTTAATGTCCAAAAGAATACCTTACCCTGGTACATTTGTCAATGAGACATAAAAGCTATACTGGTCTGGCATCTCAAAATGGGATGCCTCAGGATTTTCCATACTTACAGGCTGCATCCTAAGTGCTTTCTGCGATCTTGTAGTGAACAGTTTTGTTTCTACAATCCCCCTGCACCATGTGGTTCTGAGAGCCAAGTTTGTCAGACATTTTTGGCTACTGACTCTTCCTCATATACATCAATGATCTTCCAAACGTATCTCAACACCTGAAACCCATTCTCTTTGCTGACGACATGACTTATGTCATCTCTCACCCTAATCTTGCCACCCTCAACACCATTGTTAATGAGGAGCTGATCAAAATATCGACTTGGATGACAGCCAATAAACTTACCCTTAACGCTGACAAAACCTACTACATTATGTTTGGTAGCAGAGCAGGAGATGCGCAAATTAACATTAAGATCGACAACACTCTAATTGCCAGGCATAATGAGGGCAAATTCCTAGGCCTATATCTCGACAACAACCTGAACTTCAGCACCCATATCCAACACATAACCAAAAAAGTATCCAAAACGGTTGGGATCCTCTCCAAGATACGATGCTACGTGCCGCAAACTGCCCTTCTCACACTATACCATTCACTTATATATCCATACCTCACCTATGCTATCTGTGTATGTCAGCTGCAGTCACCTGACATACACGCCCAACACTGAAACCAAAATCATCCAATTTAGCAAAATACTTGATGGCAATACTCAAACACAAAAAAAAACATGGCACATATAGTGGTAGCTATTAAAGCATGATGGGTGGAAGTCACCCAACATGATTTAATGTCCAAAAGAATACCTTACCCTGGTACATTTGTCATGAGACATAAAAGCTATACTGGTCTGGCATCTCAAAATGGGATGCCTCAGGATTTTCCATACTTACAGGCTGCATCCTAATGCTTTCTGCGATCTGTAGTGAACAGTTTTTGTTTCTACAATCCCCTGCACCATGTGGTTCTGAGAGCCAAGTTTGTCAGACATTTTTGGCTACTGACTCTTCCTCATATACATCAATGATCTTCCAAACGTATCTCAACACCTGAAACCCATTCTCTTTGCTGACGACATGACTTATGTCATCTCTCACCCTAATCTTGCCACCCTCAACACCATTGTTAATGAGGAGCTGATCAAAATATCGACTTGGATGACAGCCAATAAACTTACGCTTAACGCTGACAAAACCTACTACATTATGTTTGGTAGCAGAGCAGGAGATGCGCAAATTAACATTAAGATCAACAACACTCTAATTGCCAGGCATAATGAGGGCAAATTCCTAGGTCTATACCTCGACAACAACTTGAACTTCAGCACCCATATCCAACACATAACCATAAAAGTATCCAAAACGGTTGGGATCCTCTCCAAGATACGATGCTACGTGCCGCAAACTGCCCTTCTCACACTATACCATTCACTTATATATCCATACCTCACCTATGCTATCTGTGCTTAGGGTTCAACTGCAGCAACACACCTAAAGCCAATAATAACCCAACAAAAAGCCACAGTAAGAATAATCACTAAATCCCATCCCTGGCAACACACCCCCCCCACTCTAAATAGATCTAAACTTACTCCCTATTCAGTACATCCACACTTACTACTGTGCAATCTACATCTACAGGACCTTAAATTCCAATACAGTGGACCCCCGCTTAACGATCACCTCCAAATGCGACCAATTATGTAAGTGTATTTATGTAAGTGCGATTGTACGTGTATGTTTGGGGGTCTGAAATGGACTAATCTACTTCACAATATTCCTTATGGGAAAAAATTTGGTCAGTACTGGCACCTGAACATACTACTGGAATGAAAAAAGTTCGTTAACCGGGGGTCCACTGTATTAACCTCGACCTAAAACGCTTTCTTGATAGTTGTGACAGAACCCACAGGCACAACACCAGACACAAACATCTCCATGACATTCCCCGTGTCCGACTAAACCTTTACAAAAATTCAATGTATGTCAAAGGCCCTAAAATCTGGAACACCCTACCTGAAAATTCTAAAACTGCAGACACATTCATCACCTTCAAAACTACCATCAGAAAACATCTTATCTCACTGATACATCCTGTCAACTAATTATACGAATACCACCTGGTGGTTCACACTTACACTCACTCACCCATTTGACCATAAACAGAAATATCAATCTCAATCTCAAAATAATGAATCTTAACTAGTCATGAGTTGGCCTGTGATACTCCAATACTGAAACTATGTGTAGTGCCAAAACAAAAGCATTCACATTGCTAAACTCACAAACTAGTATTTAGTCACTTAGCCATAATACCAACTTACCTCATAATTTTGTAATATTTTAAACTTAAGATTTAATCTAAGTCTGCCCGAAATGCCTAGCCATGCTAGGTGTTCTAGTGGTACACTCTGTAATTATTATTTTACTACATGTAAACCACACAATAACCAAATTCTGAAAGCTCAGCATTGTAATCCTCATAGAGAATAAACTTTGAATTTGAATTTGAATTTGAATTTAATATGGACAGAAGCAAGTTGCTGATACAAGAGACAGTTGCAAAGATCACTGGACTATATAAAGCAGGTCATCACACTAAAGAAATATTAAAACCCAGCAACCTGTGTGAGCATCTATTGAGGACCTGGTTGTGTCAGTTGCTTGAGAACAGTGTTCATGACATGCCCACATGAAAAGCACATCCCGGGAAGCCTAGAAGAATGTCCCCACTAACGTTACCTGCACTAACATGCACTTAGAATTGGTCTGTTATCATTTGCCTGAATCTTTCAATGTGGTGCAAAGTTTATATGCAAAACAGTGCTCCTTGCCACACCACAAAATCTGTTGTTCAATGGCTTTGTTACTGTGAAGTACCCATCTTCAATGCCTGGCCAGAAAACCTCCAAGACATTGAACCCCATTGAGAACCTCTGGGCTGAGATAGATTTACTAGGATACGGATATCAGCCCACTCCTATGGTTTTAAGACACAATCTGCGAGTCGGGTGGAAATTTACTCTATGACAGCCAGAAGAATAAGTTAATCACCCCCTAGACAGTTGAAAAATGTCCTAAAGCACTAGGGATGACCTATTTTGTAGTTGTGACTTTAGAGGGAGATTGACATACTTTAACAACGGTGTTGTGAAACTGTCACTTATGTAGTAATTTATTTTACAATCCATTTGCACTTCTAATGGCAAAAATTGCTCAGCTATTTCCTATTTTATCTGATGGAATAACAAATTATAACCATTTGTCTCATTCAATAATCATTAACCCTTTGAGGGTCGACAGGCCCTCTCAGAAACTCGTTCTCAGGGTTGGCCAAATTTAAAAAAAAAAAATTATTTTTTCTTATGAAAAGATAGAGAATCTTTTCCCGATCATAATGACACCAAAATTATGAGATTTGATGGAAAACTTACGGAATTATGCTCTCGCGAAGTAAGCGGTCTCGGCGATGTTTATGCATCGGCGATTTTGCCCACTTTGAGCCCCATTTTCGGCCAATTCCACTGCACTAGTCGACAAAAAACATGAATATTTTGCTAGAACTACATTTTTCTATTGAATGAGTGCAAGAAACCACCCATTTACCATTTTCAACTATCCAATACAGTGGTCAGAATTTAGCAATTTTGCCAATTTCACACAAATTTCAAAAAATGCCAATTTCCGAATAGGGTCCAGAACAAACAAGAAATACATTCCTGGCAATAAAATGACATTTCCTCTGTTCATTAGTCACGTCTCAAGGCCCCTCTTACATTCTTTTGCTTTCCACTTTGAATTTTTATTCTCACGAAAAATAGAAGATTTACTGTTATGCAGATTACTGCATTAGTGTAAAAAATGGTATAAATCATAATGGCGCACTTGCAAAAGAATGTTAGACTCACCAGTTGACGTGTATTGGACGCTTGGCATGATTTGTTTACTTTTGAACTTTGGTAAAAATCGAACATTTCCGCTACTTTGAGCTCAATTTCAAGGTACTTTTCATTGTAAAACCAGTCAAAATCATCTCAATTTCTGTGATATGCCTTCCATTCTATAAAATGAGACCAAGAAAACTAGAATACAACAATAAATACCATACGAAAATACAGTGCAAAGTTGCTGTTTTATGCCAAAAAAACGGTCAAAGTTTTTTTTTCTCATTATGCACTGTGTGCTGCAGGATTTTTTTTATACCGTGCAAACTGACCACATAGACCCATTCTTTCATAAGGAGGCCTACCAGCCTTTTCCCGAGAGATTTGACGGCGCTAGAATTTATGCGTACTAGTACGTCAAAAAACCCTGCGCGTAAGATGTACTAGTACGGCCAAAACCCTCAAAGGGTTAAGGAAACATTGATTCTACCATTCTGCCTATCATTTTGCCACCAGGCCCATGGCCTGGTGGCAAAGGCTCTCGCTTCACACGCTGAGGGTCAGGGTTCAATTCCTGGCAAGGGTGAAAACACTGGGTGTGTTCCCTTACACCAGTTGTCCATGTTCACCCATCAGTAAAAATGGGTACCTGGGTGTTAGTTGACTGGTGTGGGTCGCATCCTAGGACAAAATTGACCTAATTTAACAAAAAAAGGCACAATACCATGACTGGAACGATACACAAATAACCCGCACATAAAAGAGAGAAGCTTATGACGACGTTTCGGTCCAACTTGGACCATTTACAAAGTCACACTAACCAGAATAGGAGCAGGATGGCTATATATAGGCAGGAAGAGGTAGTGGTAGTAGTAGTAGTAGTACAAGAATGGTATATAATACCGACAAGATGAAATTAAGACACATGCGCAACACCCGGGCATC